GCTCCTTTTGTGACCATAACTAGAACCCAAGCTACATAATAGTGCATAAGGCGTATTATTGGTAAAGACAACAGTAGTGCATTCGTCAAGTGCTCTTCTCAAATACATAATTTATGTACTGTTGATCCCGCCATAACAATTTCTGCTCTTCCCACTAGCTGCAGAATCTCAATGTTGATCAATTGGCCCATATTGTTGGCCAAAAAGAGAAAGCAAGCAAAGCGCAGTATACCAGCTGGGTGAAATAATAGTAGAGCTGGCGGAGGGGGGGGGAAGCCCTTCCGAGGTAGTTCTGACTCGTTCGATCTGTGAGTTCATTGCCGATCTAAAGTTATGGCTGCGGTACTGCTGCGCACATATATATAAACACTTAGAAGAGCTCATCACATGGTACTGAACGATGTCATTCTCTTTATTCTATAGATTACTTGCACTGGATTTGCCATAGGGCCGTTGATACAAATGAATGATGCTCCCATAGCGTATAAAGGCTTGTTGTTAGGTCCTCATCTTTGCTCCGCCAATTGTAAGTCATAAGACGCACTAGGAGCTACATAAAAGCCAGCAAGAAAGTTGCAACAGGTATTTGGGAGTTTACCGAACACTTTTCTCCAATGATTGTACAGTACTTGATGAGATCATTTGATAGTTATCAGCGCCGTTTACTGCAAGACAACAGAGAAAGATGAGCCCAATTGCAGGGTACACGTATCTTACCGGATCGGAAGATGGGAGTTGGAACGAGATAGATGATAAAGGTTTATAAGCACTTCTACCTCAGGCGTTGAAGCACTTCCACTTTAGACGTTGGAGCACTTCCAACATTGGATCACATCATATGTTGAACCACTGTTAAAGATGTCACGGGTATTGAATCTGAACACCTATATTCACCACCTTCCCGCTAACCCTAAGATTATATGCACCCGCCTTGATCATTTTTGCGCCAATGCAGTTACAGAGTTACGCCGGACAGCGACCCTTTTGGTCGATGAAAACGGGTTTTGCGCAATTCCTCAATCCTCACATGCTATAACCATTTTGGGATCACACAGGCGTCCAGGTCACATCTACGGACACGGAAATGACCCATAGGAACCAAAGGACGCTGTTCTCGCTAAGACTATGGTCATGGGGAAGCCTGAATCATGTTCTGACGCTTCATGAGCATATGACTTAAAAATGGGCGCGGGGGTCAACGTGGTGTTGACAAATCCAAGAGTTTACAAGTACATTGAACTCCTTAACAAGTGGGTGGTTAGATGCCAAATTACACACTGTCTAGTTTATGGTGGTGGGGGTTCATCGTAGTATAAGGTACGCTGACTTTATTAGGGTATCGAATAATGTGACTCTGCACCTCTATGATGTATATATCAGAAGAAAGCAAAGCGCAAGCGCCGATGTCTTATCATGAACTGTGACCATCTTAGCTGCTGGCCAACACCGAACGAATCCATGACCACGAACAGATGGTCAGCTGAGTAGCCCAAGCTAGCCAGGATATTTACGTAGTCCATCGCTGTTCAGCAGCAGAAATGGAAACACCTCCAACGATAAAGAGATGTCTGGATGTATGATTACATAATAATCGACCTCGACTTTTTGTGTTGATGCTAACGGTTTGTATGAGCTTTATACACAACCACAACAGAGAAGGCATCGCATTCGAGCAGAGAGAACTGTTTATTTGTCGAAGAAAGATCGTCGGAATTGAAGGTCACAATAGCAGACAACGATGTCGTCATCAGGAAACAGTGGTAATAACAACAACAACAACAACAACAACAACAACAGTAACACCAGCATTGGCACCAATGTGAACTCCAAGAAGAAACCCAAACCAAGGCTCTTTACAAAAGATGTCAAGGCTCTACTCTATGCCTATGGAGATGTGGAGGAGCCACTACCCGAGACTGTCAACGCAGTGGAAGACTTGTTGGTCAACTATGTCGTTGACCTGTGCCATGATGCCCATGCCTACTCCAAAGTTACCCTTCGTCAAAAGGTTAGAGTGGAAGATTTCAAGTTTGCCCTAAGGAAAGACCCTTATAAATACGGAAGACTTGAGGAGCTATTACTGATGCAAAAGAAGATTGAATCTGCTAGAAAGCAGTTTGATAACACCGAAGGTAAAAACTTCAAGAGCGTGACCGTCGATGATGACGATGAAGATGCTCAAAATGATGAAGCCAACGGAGCGGTTGGTCAATCCACCGGGACCAATTCGGCTTCAGCATCTAACAATAGCACTGGAACGAGCGATAGGAAGCCTACAAAGAAGAATAAGAAAGATGATAATAGGCCCAAGAGAAAATACACAAAGAGTGGTAAAGAGCGGAAGCCATATAAGAAGAGGGCTAAGAAGGGGGAAAACACTTCTCAGGGGCCTATTATCAAAGCCGCGGCTCCTTCGAGTTCTACTCTTTAATGTTAGAGATATTTTAATGTCATGATGATATAACACGGTACTGTTTGTAGTCCCGTATAGATATATAAACATCAAACAACGATATTATGCAGATACTGTTCGTTTTGTTCCTCGTCAAACGATTGGTTACCTATGAACTTGTTCCACCAAAGGTTGAACTGGTAAAGTGCCAGATTCTTCAAGTTATGAGGTAAGTTGATATAACTCGAGCCGATGAATTTCAAGGCATCCCAAACAGCATTCAACTCTTCATCAAATGCTTGCTTTAAAGACTTACCCCTTTTGACTTCAATTCCATCTTCAGTTATACTTTCAACCTCAATGGAATCGATATCCAGGGCTAAATCATCTTCGTCATCCAAAGTTGGCTCATCTTCAGTCGAAATGTATTGGAAATCTTGTTCAGACTCCAAATCTCTCAATGCTTGTAAATGATTAAAATTTTGAATCGAATCTATAGATTTTGTCAATCTGTCAAAAGTGTTGAAAAGACTCGAGATTTCGTTCTTGTGAAGGTGTTGCATTGTGTTATCGTCTTCGAATAGTACCTTGAGAGCAGTGGCATAACCCGTGGATTGGATCTTACCCCAGAGACGACATCTATCGCAGGTAACACAGTCCATAAGCTTCGTAACGTTTTTGAACTTGGTTCTGAACTCGTCCTTAGTCTCTGAGTTCTGAAACATCACATGCTCATCAAACACGTACAAGTCGTGCGGTAGATCCTGAATGATGCTGTTTATCTGAGCCCTGATGTCTTCGTTGTTCTCCTGGTTATGAGCATTAAAGATGATATCAGCCAACACAGGCTCCAATTTCAAGATCGCACGGGTCACAAGAGCATAGTTCAGGTAAATATTCGCTATTCTATCTGGGTAGTTGCCAACTTTGAACTTGAACAGGTCGAGGTTTGGTTCCCACGTATTGGTAGCGTTGTTATAGTATTCGTTGGACAAATGGGTTGATACTGAGCTGTGGAAACCTGAAATGATCTGATAGAAAACGTGTTGTTCCATTGGACATTCACCTTCCAGCTGGTTTTGGTATATCATTCCCCAGATGTTACGTTCTGGTGTTGGGACGTATCCTGTGAATCTCTCTGGGTTTCTCGATATGTCAATGATAACGCCGTCTCTATCATTCAACTCACACCATTCGCTGTCTTCGATGATCTGGTTCTGGTTATTCTTTGGGCATAGAGAGTCCAGGAAGGAATCCTCATTCAGATTCTCCAACTCGTTATCAACATCGTAATTGTATTCTTGCGAATGGACATCCAAATCTAATTGACACCCAGGACTAAAGCATATCGATTGGCACTCAAAGAACGGACAGTTCATGTCAAGTTGAAACTTGAAATGCTTGAAGTAATCTTCATTAACCAAGCTATGAACCTTTGATCTGATCTGGGAATTCACAGTGTTTATCCTCGAATAGGTCAAATCACAGCACTCATTACTAATCATCGAGTCGGTGTCGATGCTGAACAGGCTGTTGTTACCGGCCACAACCGTCACAAGGGCACCAAAGATAATGCCGAATCTCATCGTAGCTGGTTTCTTCTGTTGATGGGTAGTTGATCAGAAGGATCTGGTTCTCCAGTGGGAATGAAATGTAGGGAAGGAGAAACTTAGGATTAAGAGGCCAACAAAAAGTGTTCCAGAAAGAGAAGATTAAGAAAATGGGATCATATACAGATTTACGTGTTCAGATACATAAGGCCCCAAGTTTGTCACCGGAGAAAGTTTTGGCCACCTTTATGGATCACCCGAACACCAAACCGTTTTTTTCTTTCTTTTTGTTCTTTTCAGATTTCTTTTTCTATTTGGGCGGTTAGCTTTGTTCATTGGTTTACCGTGGTGGGTTCACTAAGTGTGTCGTTTTGTAGAACGTTAAAGGCACTTATCTGACATAAGGTAATGCTACGACCACGTAATGCTTAAAACATGCAATGTTCTGGCCACGTAATGCTTTGACCACGTAATGCTTTGACCACGTAATGCGTTAACTACTCCCACTTGATCTATAATCACTTGAACAGATTAACCTATCTACTTTAGCCACGCGGAACGCTCGTTCATGTCAAACCCTTTACCTCTAAGATCCCCTGATCGAACAATTCTCTAATGACATCCAGAATTTGTAAGTTCTCCTGTGCCAACTCTCTTTGAATAATGGCCTTGTTAAGGTTGAACTTCGCCTTGTTCCTTGACGCTTCACCTCGTACGACATTGTTATTCCTTTGATTTCCTTGCAGTTGTCTCCTCTTCTGAACAACTTTTGCCTCCTTTGAATCTTCAGAGCTATCAGATGGCTTGCTATTTGAAATCTTCTTCATCCAGTTAACTTTCCTCTGTTTGATCCACGCTTCAATGTCCTCCTGCGTATTCAAGGTTATGTCTGTTCCAGGAATAGCGATATTAGCCTTGGTTGTAGATTCCTGTCCCTGTTCTTGTTCTTGTTCTTCGTGAACGTGGTCATGAACGTGTATTGGGGTGTCCGAGACAACTTGGTCATTGGGAAGATGTACTGGCAAATTGCTTGGAGCATGGGCAGGCAGATTCACATCAGGCCTCGACTTCTTCAATGGCTGTCTCACGTCCTCTTCTTGAGATGCTCTTTTACCGTATATGAGATCCATTTCCAGATTTGTAAGGCACGAAAAAGATGCTATCGACACTATCAACTGTTTAATGGAGCTATGTAGAGAAAATTTTCATCCCCCTGTATAAAATAACAATAAACTTCTGTAAGATCTGCTCGAAAAATTTGGAAAGTGCGATGATCAAAAAATTTGACACAAAAAGTTTGATTCGACAAGGCAGATTTGAAAGAACTAACTTTCTTATTTACTGCGGTGGAGGGTGAGCAATGTTTATATATAAACTTTCAGTCTTAAAGTAAAACGAGAGAGGGAAACCCCACAAGGCAACTTTAAATTGTAGTCACGAGACAATGCTTAGTCGACATTGAGATTTAGGTCTAGTGCGTGCCTGTGTGAGCGATTTAGCTGTTGTGGTTAGGTGCTCAGAGCCTCAGTGACGGGAGGAATATTTCGTGACACAAAGACAGTTGAAAGCTGGAGGTGTAAGTACACAAAAGTCGATTTCGGCGTTTTATTTGTTTTGATTCCTCTATCACGTTTATTTATTTAAACAACAAAGAGGGTCTTGTAAAGTATCCGATCGAACGATTCGTTGAGAACCGACTAAGTATAACATCTTTGATGAAGGCGAAATATACATCCTGCGATGCTACAATCGACGTTGAAAGTATGAGTCTAATCTCAGAGTCGGATGATGAAATTCTCGTATCTGGAAAGACCGATGACAGCGGGGTTGAGATGGTTGTCTATTGGACTAATAGACACACTCATCTCATTGACAAAGTGATTAACATCACTTCTGTGTTTGCATTTATCCTACTCTTTGCGTTTATGGATTCATCGTTGTTCTTCCACCAAACGATGCTATGTGCATCTTGTTCACAGTTGGTTCTCATAATTCTTAAGATCAACTCGGATTGGTGTCCAATTTTGGCGGTGTATTCAATCGTAGCATCGTTGAACTCGACAATCTCATGTATTTATGGGATCTTTAAATGTTCCAAATTGTTATTCTCACTTTCAACAGCATTATCGGCTAACGTATCACAATCACTGCACAGCTACGACAAACAGTTAACGAGCTTAGTGTCACTACAAGCCTATAATGTGAAGTGGGATATCACAACGTTTGTCTTGTACATAGTATTGGGTCTTATAGTCTTTGAAGTGGAGATGGCTGTGAGATTTGTCGTTGCTATTCGGGCCCGCCATAGAGGTTATGAGAACCCACGCAAGATGCTTGAGTTTGATAACGAAAAACTTCTCCGCCAAGATGCCCTTGACGAAAGAACACCGCTTGATGAGTCAATCGAACACATTGTCTCAATATTGTTTGGGATGTTTGGCTCAACCAGAGACACAGTCAAACTTGGTGATGTCGAGTCGAGGAGTGGTGACATCTGTTGAACTGAAAGAATAATGAGCAGCTAGAGGGTCTATTCATTGATACATAAATATATCCAAAGAGCAAGAGATTTGTCCTAACACGTTGCAATCAACCAAGTATTAACTGAACACCCCCACTAAAGAATGATTACTTCATTTGTAGATGGTTATAGGTAGAGAAGAACAATTACCCCCTATAAAGCCATTTTCGCTTATTTGCACGATACATTCCAAATTCGGTTAATTGTGTTGTGTAAAAGAAACCCACGCCCTTTTCTGAAATTTCACTCCCCCACAGAATCACACAAAAAAAGAAGAGAAAACTCCATAAAATGCGTGGAGGGGCATCGCTAAAAGAAGAAAACAGAGAGACGGAGAGCGCCAAAAAGTGAACTCAACGGTGTAAAACGGTGAAGAAAAAGCCGAAATTTGTTGGTGTATTTCTTGATCCCAATCAACCATAAAAACTGGAATACAGCTGCCTGTTTTACGTCCTTCGTCTTTGTCCCTGTGGGTTTATCATTCGCATCATGTCCCAACAAGTCAACCGTGCCGCAACACAGTCAATCACCCAGAAGTTCCTGAACAAGGAGACGTTGAAGTGAGTAAAATGGAATGAAGCATTTATAGCCGATGGCGGTTTGGTTTATAGGACGTGGTACTAACTCTCCCACTATAGATATGTGTTTACAACGCATTTCTGGGGTCCCGTGTCCAACTTTGGTATTCCAGTAGCTGCTATCTATGATTTGAAGAAGGATCAGAAGACCATTAGTGGTCCAATGACAGGTGCGCTTGTTGTCTATTCTGCAGTGTTTATGAGATACGCCCTAGCAGTGACTCCGCAGAACTACCTACTCTTTGGCTGTCATGTGATCAACGAAGTAGCACAGTTGGGCCAAGGCTACAGATGGTTGGACTATTGGTACTTTGGTGGAAAGGAGAAAGCCGAAGCTAAGTGATCCTTTGATAGGATTAGTTTATGTCCATCTACATATACACACGTTTTATCTCTGCAATAGCCGATTGTGGATTCTCTTTCCAGCACTAGTCGAATATACCCTTTGCCTTTGAAGAGTTCTGAGTCAGGCCTAGGTTTGTAGCTGGGTCTCTTTCAACTTGAGTTGGGCCAAGACCAGTTCCTTGAGACTCATTGGAAGTGGACTCATCAGCGAGTTCCAGTTTCCGTCTTTTTATAGATTCCAGATATTGTAGCTTTGCCTCCTGGATGACTTGACTTCTCGTATTCACCAACGACTTCAACGTCAAAGCATCTGCGTTTGGATCACCCCAAGTGACCCTCGGGCCTGAATCGTGTTCCCCTTCTTGTGTGAAGTCTGCACCACGAGAATAATCGTCCTGGTGGTGTTCTATACTCTCATTATCACCAGCTTCGCTGTCATCATCGTTATCCTCAGGGACAAAGAGATCATTTGTAGTGATACTGGGTACTGCAGCGGCATCCTGTGGCTGTTCGTGTTCTTGTTCAATCGTTGGAACAACCCGAGGAAGCTCAATACGCTCCTCTTTCCTCCGTTTCCTTTGTTTGTCCACAACTAGAGGTACCGGGTCAGGTACAGTCACATCATCATCGGTATCGAGGATCAATCTCACAGTGGCATAATCCTTCCTTATCTCAAATAAAATCATCTCACCACCTTGGATGAACCAGGATTCAAGAGAATCACCAGACGAGCCCAAGTTCAACAAGTTCTTGAAGTCCTTTAATCTGAAAACCAATTTATACTCACAGCTATCAGAGTTCTCCCCAGCACTATCATCGTCCTCCTCCTTCGCACCGCCCAAGGAATAGTCCTCCAAGTCTTCAGTGTTGAATCTCACAGTAACAGACATGGGTTGTTTCAACACTTCCTTCTCCCTTATGGAAACACCCCTCGTGAAAGCAGTGATGCTGAACCTTTTGGCATCGATGTCAAACTTCACCAGCTCGGATGAACCGCTGTTATCCATAAACCTTCTTAGAGTACCAACATTAGCCGCAATATAACTGATGGTCCTGGAACCAGCCTTCCCAGACCTTTGCGCGTTGAAGTTATCCTTGTAGTAATCAGAAAGCCTCTGCAACTCTGGCGAGCAGATCGTGTAGAAAGGGGTAAAGGTCTTTTTGATCAAGTTCTTGGTCAACACCTCAATGCATAGTTTATACTGCAACCTCGTTGGACAATCACCAGTGGCATCGACGGACACTTTGAACTGCTCAACGTCCTCCTCGTGTCTCTTGAAGAGCATCGACAGGAGCTTCGATTTCACAGAGAGCGTGAACCCGATATCCTCACTGTCATTGTGCCCCTTGTGCAAGCCTTCCGCAACCCTGTCCGTGCTGAACTCATAAGTCTTGAAGAATTCGCTTTCAAACGTGATATCCATGTACCCAGTGTACGCAACGTTTCTCGACGACAGCACCAAGCGCTTAGCATAATATGTGAATCTGATGTCCTCTGACACCTGGGCTATCGAGTGGATGCACCGACACCATACCGCCCTGTTCTCCGGCTTAGATAATGCGAAGGCAAAAGATGTCATTTCGGCAGGCCTGCACCAGCTTCCCACAGGCTATCAAAAAAGTGTTGATGTTTATTTTTCTTGGGAAGAAGGGGTCGAAGGTGAAGCTGGGGAGGAAGCGTAGGCAGAAGAAGGCGCCAGAAGGGTGAGAACAGGAACAACGGCAACAATGAGCAAAATATTAAAGACTCCAAGGTTCAAAGGCTCTGGGAGGTCGAGATCTGGTTGTACGAACTGTAAGAGACGTAAGAAGAAGTGTGATGAGATTAAGCCAATCTGCACCGGTTGTTATAGAAGGAACCTGGAGTGCAAGTACCTCGAGCTGGAGAGGTTCGAAAGTGCCGATAAGGAGGACCTGACGGCGCTGATATCGGGGGTTAGCTCTAAGGAGCTGTTAGGAGATGATTGCAGTCTCCTCATAGGGAGTTGGCTTGACTCTGACCTGTCGTACATGTTCCCTTTGCACTTGGAGACTGACATTGATGAGGCTGTTTCACAGATGGAGCTCCAGGTGGAGCTCCAGGTGGACACCCTCATACGATTTCCTAGGGATATCACCAGGAGAGACTACAAGTATTTGAAGTATTGGGTTGTTGAGATCCTCCCAGAGCTCTCGATGCTGCCTTCTCCGACCGTGGCCAACTACTATTCCAACATATACTTGAGAATGGCACTGACCGAGCCTGCTGTGCTCTACTGCCTGATCTGCTGGGGCTGTAGGGCCAAACGGGGCCACAGCTTGGACTACCAGATACGAAGTGAAGAGTACGAAGCCTTGATGTCCGTGATTAGAGATGAGCTCACAAAGATGCAAGCTGACCTGACGAAGAAGAACTTCTTCTCTTGCTTTGTATGCTACATGGCATTGGTGACGATGGAGATATCGTTTGGCGACACGAGAATGTGGTCAAGGTATTTCAACGCTTGCTTCCACATGGCCAATAAGATGCCAGGATGCTTGAAGTACCTCACCAACGAGTGCTACACTGAAGGATGGGTATTATCACAGAACTTCGCATACTTTGACATACTGGCATCGCAGACCAACGAGAATGGAACGTTCTATTCAATTTCTGACTATATCGATATCCTCTCGGCAAATAACAGCGATGTAGCTCAACTCCAGTCCGATCCAATGCAGGGGTGTATAAGGCCAATGATACTGCTGATTGGGAAAATCGTCAGCTTGCTGGTCGAATACAACGCACTGAAAGTATCATCTGATTATTTGAATCCGAATTGTGATCGGTACAGTATAGTTGCAGAGATGTTAGAGAAGGCTAACAATCTGGACAACGAGATATGCTTCTGTAAGCCCGATTTTACATTCCTGAACAACTTGACAAAGGAAGAGTTGGAGTATCATCTGACTCTGTTCGAGGCAATGCAAATATCTACACAGCTTTATCTGAGACAGGTGATAAAGAACCTCCCAGCAGTGGTACCAGAGGTGGAGTTACTGTCGATGAATTTGAAGGAAGATATGCACGTGCTGATCGAATCACAGAGGTTTAGAAAGAGCCTTGCCTTCCCAATGCTACAATTGGGACTGTGTGTTAGCTCTGCACAAGATCGTAAGGAGGTGAAGGAGTTCTTTGAGAGGCTCATAAAGATGTGTGGTTATCTAAGCTCCTACCAAAGCATATGGATACTCATTCAGAAGGTGTGGGATTTGAATTCAAATGGCCAAGTCTACGTTGATTGGTTTAGAATTTCAAAACAGATGGAATGGAAATTGAACTTGGCTAGGTGATTATGCCTCAGAGCAGCTTCAAATATCATCAAGATCGCAGCCATAGTTGTCATCCAGATCGGCTCTGCGACCAGACGTAAAGTCAATCTCTTCAATCTTGATCACACCCTTCTTGAAGTACCAATAATCATAGCAAAACCAGCAGATGAAGAAAGCAGGTAACATGATATAACCATCAATGAAGCCTTTATAGTCAAATGGCTTGAACACTGACCAACCTTGTACGAGAACCAAGAATACACCAAACGCAAACCCTATGTAGTCGGTGTAAGGATAAAAATACGACTTGAAAGGCAAGGCCTCCAACGAATAGCCTTGTGCAATCCAGGCTCTTCTGAACCTCCAGTGTGTTACAATGATTGCAGTCCAGGCAATGAAGGCAGAAACTGAGGCAACGTTCACAATGTAGGTGTAGGCGATGCTCGACCCACTCTTGTACGATAGGATACTCAAGAAGCCAAAGAGGTGAACGAAATGGATCGAGACCCAGGGGATACCCTTGCCGGTAGTCCTTGTAAAGATCTTTGGCCCGTAGCCTGCCTCTGCCCATGTGAACAGAGCCCTCGACGCGAAGTAGATTGCGCTGTTGATGGAAGAGATACACGTCAAGAGGATAAATGTCGTGACAAAGTACTTCGAGTTTGCCCATCCAGCATTCGTAAGGGCAATTGTCATTGGTGATCTCATCACCTTCTGTGAATTGCTGAACGCAGGGTCGTTGTAAGCCACTGTGATACCGTACGCCACGGTAAGGCCAAAGTAGACGTAGAAGATTCTCAGCACCGTGTTCTTACAGGCCGTTGGAATGGCCTTTCTAGGGTTCCTGGTCTCAGCAGCGATGACTGACACTCCCTCGACACCTGAGTAGAAGACACCAGCAAAGACAAAGGCGTTGGCAATGCCTTTGAACCCGCTGTTCAGTGGATAATTTCCAAAAGGATCATCAGGTTTATGGTCCGGAATGCCACCAGCGGCGTATACAATGGCAAAGATGTAGAACCCGGTGAGGTATGTCAGCTTCATGATGCCCAGGATGTACTCACTCTCGCCCCACCAGCTGACGTTCAGCAGCTGGAAGCACGTAAAGAACGCCCACAGCAGTAAATACCAACCGTACATGGGGATCTTGTCAGTGTAGATGGACATCGCAGCGCACAGCGATGTGTACTCAGAGATCAGGTTGGTGATCCAAAGAACAACGTAAGCCAAGGCAACAGAGGCACCAAACCCCTTGGACACAAATCTCGAGCCCAGGATGGCGAAATTGGCATCGTAGGCGGCGTTCAGCTCACCAATATCAAACATACAGATGAGAACAAGAACACCCACTATGGCAAAGCCGGCCATCATACCAGCAGGACCAGAGGCCACCAGCATGCTGCCGAAGCCCATGAACACACCAGGCCCGATGATGCCACACAGAGCAATCAGGTTGACCATCCGGTTCTTAAGACCTGCTTTCAGACCTGTCGCCAGCAGCACATCGCCAGCACTCGTCTCTTCGTACGAGTTGCTAGCGTGTACTACATCCACAGAGCCATTGCCTTTGTCCGTATCTGAGCGATACGACTGCTTCTCAGCACTGTGTCTCATCTTGATGTATAGAACTATGAGTGTGATTGGTGTGATAGGGGTACTTGCCTTGATTGAAGTGGTTATTTGTATGGCTTTATATAATAAACATCACCACCGCCACGCCTATGCAGATAAGGCCGACACAGGGCTCTCTCCATCATGCATATGCGACGGTCAAATCATGCGGAAACACACGGAGGCTAAGGCCCGATTACTACGAAAGTGGGCTCGTTGTAATCAGCTCGATGAGACGGTTCGAATGGTGTGGGTTGCGCTGGCAAAGGCCCGAGGGTTGTTCGAAGCGATGGGCAAACAGCTATGCGCAGCGCATCAACTTCACATCGACGGACACACACGCAACATGTGTTAAAGATAAAGCGGAGTAGACAGGGGCAGCTACGCCATAAAGACGGGATTTGTTTCGTGAGTTCCTTTCCTCCTTCTGGTATCTACTTCCAGGTCAGCCATGATGGTGAAGACGGACGTCACAATCAACGACAGGTACCAAGCTCTGTGCAAAAGGGTTCCAGTAGTTGATACTCATAACGATTTCCCCTACTCTCTGAGAGTCCAGTTCCACAATGAGATCCATTCAGGGCTGGGCAAAGGCTTCGACTTTGACTCCTACTTGACAAGTCACACGGATTTGCAGAAGATGAAGCAGGGTGGGATTGGAATCCAGTTCTTCAGCTGCTTCATCGAGTGCAAGGACGGGGATTATCTCTATGATGACTTCAACAAATCCAACTCTGCCGTCCGAGATACCTTGGAGCAGATCGACGTTATCAAGAGACTGGTTGAGGAGTACTCTGAGTGTTTGGCCTTTGTTCACACCTCCGACGAGGCAATGAGGCTCTTCTCGGACTCACAAAAGATCTCTATAACCCTCGGAGTCGAGGGCCTCCACCAGTGCGACCTGTCCCTTGCAGTGGTCAGACAGTACTATGAGCTTGGTGTTCGTTATATAACGCTGACTCACAACTGCGATAATCCTTTCGCCACTGCTGCTTCCTCCATCACGGGTGGTAAACCGGATAGAGGCTTAACTCAGTACGGTAGGGAGTGTGTCAAGGAGATGAACCGGTTAGGGATGATCTGCGACTTGAGCCATGTGTCCTATAAGACCATGGTTGATGTTTTGGAAGTGACACAGTCACCTGTGATCTTTTCTCATTCAAGTGTGTATTCATTGACTCCTCACGAGAGAAACGTTAGGGATGACGTCCTCGTCAAGGTGAAAGAGAATGGAGGTGTCATCTGTATCAACTTCTTCCCACTGTTCTTGAAACAGGATAAGCGAGACGTGTGCACCATCGATGATGCAGTTGATCATATTGTTCACGTAATCAAGTTGATTGGATGGGATCACGTTGGATTCGGTTCAGATTTTGACGGCATTCCACAAGGTCCAAGAGGACTGGAGGATGTCTCCAAGTATCCGGATCTTATTAAGCTCGTATGGGAGCAAACCGGTGCTCAGGAAGAGGACATTGCCAAGTTGATGGGACTGAACGTGGTTCGTGTTTGGAAAGAGAACGAATTGGTCTCACAAAAGTTGAAGAAGCAATTACCAGTGGAGTCCAATTGGTCTGAAAGAAGATGGGAGTTCTATGAATATGCTAGAGAATTCCCAGAGATCCTTCCTGGTGCATTTGGAAAAGTGAATAACATATGGTCATCTGAACAAGCGTTGGATAACAAATAGACGTCAAATCTTCACATTGAGCAAAGCTCTCTTGATGTAGCTCCTTGGTGAGTTATCAGTTAAAAGCTCTTCGTATTGATATTCTCTATCGGATTCCATACTCTGCTTTTTCCATTGGTTTAGCATTCTCCTGATTCTCCACTCTCTGTAGGGAATTAGCACCATCGTGGAGAAGCAGTACATCGAGCCAACGAACAGTTGGCAGTAGAAGTACGGGGAATGAGATTGCAGTGAGTAGTCTCTCAAGTTAACTGCAACTACCTCAGCGATTAACGAGCCGGAAGCCATCCAAAAGCACACCCAGCTAGAAGCAGATGCGAATGAATTCATCCCAACGACATCAACCACCAAAGGCGACCAGCTAACAGAGCTGACACCAACAAACAAACCCATTGCCAATGCGAAGCATATCAAGGAAGCGTACGAGTGCACGTTAATCCACCAACACAGTGTAAGAATACAAATGTACAAGGTGCCCATCAGCGAAAAGTTTACACGACCAAACACTTCACACAGATACCCAGTTAAGGGTCTTCCAACTGCCTGTGATAAGTTGAACAGCACTGTAATCGTAGTGGCCTGTGTTTCGTTCAGTCCAATAGATACAGCGTAGTTTGAGAGAGAGAAGAGGCACACTATATAGCTTGCATTTGTAAAGGCAACCCACACAGTTATGAGTTGTAAGGGGAAACTCTTCAACATCTTATAATCCAAGACAGATTTGATGACTTTTAGAAGTGAGCTCTGTTGCTCAGCTTCATTCAGATGCTTATCATTCTTTGGAATTCTTGGTTTGATGATAAACGAGGTTGAAGCACAAATGGCAAATGAAACGATTCCCAGAAACCTTAGAGCCCATTTATGGTCTCCAGTTTTATGGATTATTGCATTTGTTGATAGGGAGAACACGATACCACCAATTCCAATGCCAGCTTGCGATATTCCCAGGGCAATTGCGCGTCTTCTCAAGAACCAAGACGGCAAGACTATACTATTTGCACCGAATATGATGCCAATGGCCAAGCCCAGTAGAACACCTTGGGTCATAATCAGCTGAACCATTGTCCTTGCAAAGCTTGCGCCCAAGTACGCACCCAATTGTACAATTATCCCCACCCATACTGTCGGTCTGTAGCCAAACTTGTACAGTCCAATTGATGCAAACGAGATGGTTGCCAATGTGAAGAACATCAACAGTCCCATCATCAAGGCGTACAGAGTAGCATCACCACCGGGGAATTCATCATCTTGAAGGTAGAAACTCAGCATGACACCAAAGGAGCTATTGGCACCCCAGGTGGCAAAGTTCATCATGGCAACGCCAGCGCAGCACCACCACCCGTATCCACCATCCGGAGCAGCGTCGATGTAGTCATCTGGATGGTAATTACCGTCATAATCATCTTTGTTCGACGGCTGTGTCGATATCACTGGAATGCACTCTGTAGACACGACTTCTTTATTCATTGAGAGGGTCAGTAGAACGAGGCAGTGCGTGGATGGGCAACAGGTTGAGAAGAACCGGTGTTGATGAATGAGTCACTAATGTATAGGGAAAAGCATACAAATGTATGTGATGTAAGCAGTCACGTGAGAAGGTAATAGAGAAGCACGTGACACATAACATTGGATAATATTATCCATAATATAATTTCTTCTTGCTCCCGTAGCCCACCGCCGGGCAGTCGCGGCCCTCAAATCAGCGCAACGGAAAAGCCAGGGGAGAATTTCACAAGTAAAAAGGGGGAGGAGAACCGGGACAGGAAAACCGGGCAGGAGTTTTTCAAAAAAACAGAAAACCAACTCACACAGGTCCCAGCTGGTCAGACAAAAGGACAAACCAACGGGACAAGCACAAACGATGAGATTGACCCAGATTCTTAGATCAACACAAGTCTTGGTGAGAACGAGCCAGGGTAACCCAACAGGTATCACTGGACTCTTTCAACACCCTAACCCACGTCCTGCGCTCTTGGAGATTTACAAGGCCACGTTGGAATATGTGGGCAAGGAGTTTCCTCAAGAGTCCGTTTACAAGAAGAGCGTGACCAACTTCACAAAGAGCAGAATGGACATCGTCGAGTCCACCGAAAGCGTTGAGGAGATCGAGCAGAAAATCGGTAATGGCCTGATCGAGGAGGTTCTGATCCAAGCCTCTGATGAGTTGGAACTTGCAAAGAAGATGAAACTGTGGGAATCTTGGAAGGAGCTGGAGGACAAACCGTTGGAGGACCAGTGGGTTTATTTCGGCAAGAAGATCTGATTACCGCCACGTTTATTTATTTTCATAAAGCTATTTATTTATTTATGTGTATATATACGGAAACGCAAAGTTGTGTGTATATACTCCACCTTTAATTACACATTATAAGGAGAATTTATTTCGAATGCGTTAAATATATACGTAATAACCTCGTACACATGAACAACAAAAAATAGGTATGTATCGTTTTTCAATCTACAAGAGACTTTTGAAAAGAATAAACACAAAGGGACAAACACAAAGGGACAAACCAACAAACTCCAGAGTATAATATATATAATCAATTAAAGTAGATTAGATATAAAGAAGGCAGGAGGCAACTTGGCCACACAGACCTCAACAGCAGTTACTGCTTGTCTTATCGCCATGGCCACCAACTTTGACTCCGTGGTCTTTATCGGCGTTTGCCTTTGAGCCAGCTTTATCATGGATGATCTTTGTCAGTTTTATAAACAACTCCTCAACGTTCTCGTTAGTCTTTGCACTGGTCTCCAAGAATGGTACTCCCAATTCCCTTGCGAGAGCTTCACCCTGCTCATAAGACACTGCTCTCAGATCAGCGTTATCGTTCTTGTTACCAACCAGGAACACCTGTGCGTCTTCAGTGGCGTGCTGGTTGATGGCTTCGTACCAGTTCTTGACATTCTCAAAAGTGCGTTCATCTGTAACGTCGTAGACGATTATGATACCAGCTGCTCCTCTGTAATAGGCAGTTGTAATAGTTCTGAAACGTTCCTGACCTGCAGTATCCCAAACTTGGAGTTTGATCTTGGCACCATCAACTTCAACGGTTCTGATCTTAAAATCGATACCAATCGTGGTGATAAACGAAGGACTGAACTTGTCCTCAACAAAACGTAACAGTATACATGATTTCCCGACACCGGAATCACCGATAAGGAGCAGCTTATAAACAGAGTCGTAGGCTCTAGTCGAAGTTCTTCCAGACATTTGTGCGTCTTGATCGCTTTTCTTGTCTTGAACTTGTTGTTTCTATGGGTTGCACTTTTCCCCCCCTTTGTCTTCAAGTGTTTTCCACTTTTGAAAAAGGTGCGTGATTTAATTAGTTGGCGATTTTTTTGCCTGGTTTTTTTCCCTGTGCTTCCTTTCATTTTGGGTCCTTTCTTTGCTTCAATTTCCGCTTAATCCTCTTCTCACCCCTTTAAACAGGAATCAGGCACGTGACTTATCACAGAGCCGCAGCACGTGATTCCGCTAGTGTGTCACACGTGACTGAAATTTCTCAAAACTCAAATGTCGTCGACCAAAATTTTTCTCTGCTTTTACAAGCAGAACACATTCATCAAAACACTGAACAGCCAGTTAACCATACAAGATGCCTACCGTTGCAGTTGACAAAGCCGACCTGTTCGAGCTGTTGGGGAAGGAGTACACCACGAAGGATTTCGACGAGTTGTGTTTCGAATTTGGTATTGAATTGGACGAAGATACCACCGAAGAATGCTCCAAGACTGGTGAACGTCCTCAGTACAAGATTGAAATTCCTGCCAATAGATACGATATGCTCTGTATCGAAGGTATTGCACAGGCATTGAACGAATTCTTGGGGAGAAGAGAACAACCTCAGTACAAATTGTCTCCACAGGTTCCAAACGTGTCCCTGACTGTTGATGAATCCACCCTGCAAGGTAGACCCTATGCAGCAGCAGCCATCTTGAGAAACGTGAAGTTCACACAGAGATCCTACGACTCCTTTTTGGCACTCCAGGACAAGCTCCACTCGAACCTCTGTCGTAATAGAACCCTTGTGGCCATGGGTACCCACGATTTAGATGCTTTGAGTCCTCCTTTTACCTACAAGTTCCTCGCAAAGAATGAGATCAGCTTCATTCCTTTGAATCAGACTAAAGAGGTGAAAGGTGAAGACTTTGTCGAATTTTACAAACAAGACAAGCATTTGGGCAAATTCATTCACATCATTGAAGACTTCCCGAAGTTACCAGTGATTTTGGATTCTAAGAACAACATTGCATCTTTACCACCAATTATCAACTCTGAACGCTCTAAAGTCTCCTTGGACACCAAGAACGTCTTCATTGAGGTCACTGCCACCGACAAAACCAAGGCTGAGATCGTTGTCAACCAGTTGGTTGCCATGTTCTCCCACTACTGTGAAGACCAATTCTCAATAGAGCCTGTGGAGATTGTCTCCAAGCATAACAACGAATCAAGAGTCACACCAAACTTGACACCAAGAGTTATGCAAGCAGAGATTGATTACATCAACAGCTGCTTGGGTCTGAAACTGACACCAGCAGAGATTGTTGCCCTTTTGAAGAAAATGTCTCTTGTTGCATCTCCTTCAAAGACTGATGCAAACTTGCTCGATGTCCAAATCCCAATCACAAGACCTGATATCTTGCACCAAGCTGATATCATGGAGGACGCAGCCATTGGTTACGGCTACAACAACTTGCCAAAGAGTGCAATGGCTGCATCTTCAAACCTGAGTGGTGCTCCACTGCCAATCAACAAAGTGTCTGATATCCTGAGAAACGCATCTGCTCAGTCAGGCTGGTTGGAAGTGATGCCATTGACCCTCTGCTCCCATGATGAGTGTTTCAAATTCCTCAACCAATCAGACGATTCCAGAGCTGTTAAATTGGCAAACCCAAAGACTGCAGAGTACCAAGTTGTTAGAACTACGTTGATCCCAGGTATCTTGAAGACGATCAGAGAAAATAGAAAACACACCTTACCTATCAAGGTGTTTGAGTCTGGCGATGTCGTCTTCAAAGATGAGTCATTAGAGAGAAGGGCATTCAACGAAAGACATTGGGCAGCAGTCCATGCTGGTAAAACCTCTGGTTTTGAACATGCTCAAGGTTTATTGGGAAAGATTATGCAAACAATGAGAACTCCATGGTTACCTGAGCCTTCTAAATCCACCGAAAAGGGCTACTGGATTGAAGAAGACGTCGAGAATAAGACTTATTTCCCAGGAAGAGGTGCCAAAGTCTTCTATAGACATAAGAACGGCGAGGATGCTAAGGTTGTCGGCTCTGTTGGTGTCTTGCATCCACAAGTACTGAACCAGTTTGAAATCCCTTACGCTGCTAGTGCAGTGGAGATAAATGCTGAGATCTTCCTCTAGATGGTCTCTGCTTGACTCTTTCCACCGTCTTTATGTAGTTGAATAAATATACTTTTTTTTGATCTTGGGTGTATATCTTCACCATTCAATGGGAAGCAGGAAACGCTAGCAATTATCTTGAGATGTTGTTGACATCACCAAGAATGTATTGTGTAACTTGACCTCCAGATACAACTGAATTGAAACGGAACGACTACAACTTATGATTCCCAGTTTGATCAACAGTTCTGACATTCATGTCAAACGTTGAAGACCCACTGGAATCACACAGTCATGACAGTCAGTGCAAGACTTCAAATGGTGGACCCTACACATGCGTATCATCATCAAAGAATGCAAAGTTATATTAAATTCATCCGAATGTCATGGTTATGTTCTCAGAAGTTCCCGTAAAGTCATCATCATCGAGGTCGGCTAATGCAGTTGATCTTGGTTTATCAGTGTTGTCAGGCACTTTCGATGAACCTGTCGAGGTTGTCTCATGAAGATTTACTTCACTGGAGCTTGTAGTAGCAGTGTGCTGCTCAGACTTTCCCGTTTCGGTCTTCTCTCTGGAATGGACTGTTTCAGTTGTAGTCAGCTCAGGTTTGGCAGGATTAGTTACAGAAAGAGAGTCTGCAGTAATCTCATCTTGCAAATCGTCTCGTTCAGCCAGATCCTCCTCTTCATTGACAGTACCTTCAGTATGTCGCTGTATATAGGCAATTTGGTCAACGACATCCATTTCACCGTCAGAATCCTGAGCAAGCTTATCATCACTTTGAATTTTGGCATCAATATAGCTTTGCCACCATTCCTTCTTTGTTTTTGGTTTGAACCATTTAGAGAATATACCCTTCTTCTTACTATGACCACCCGTGGCTTGTTCCTTTTCTATCTGTTTCCTCATCTCATCGAACTCCAACACCAATTTCCTCTGACGTTCAGTAGTTTCTGGATCTGGATCATCAATCTCAACAAACTCGTCCTTCAAGACACCGATTCCGAGCTCTTTCAAAAGTTTCGGCATGGAAGTACGATATCCCATATGCCCAGATACAAAAGTTGTGCAGTCAAAGTTTTCGATACCGTCAATGTTTTCAATTTGGGATAGACCCATAACACGGCCAAGACCACCACTGGTGGCTCGGAAGAGATAACCCAAGATCCAATCCTTCTTGGAATACCCATTGACAAAACGACCAGAGACAACTGATCTGGCTAGCAGCAATTGCTCGTCAGAACCAACCACTGGAGAACCAAAGAGTAGGACGTTTTCAACAAGACCATGTGCACCTCTTTTAGCCAGCTCCAGTAGGCACGAGTAGATCACTCTTGAGCCTAAGGAGAACCCGAGCAGTGTCACTGGACGAACACCTAAATTTCTCGAGACCAGAGTATCGGCTAAAATCAGACCAGCCTTCCACGCTCTATCAAGCGAAACGTTCCAAGGATTATCGATGAGGTAACTGAGTTTAGAAAGCATCATGGGGATTTGAATCGCACTCATCAAGGCCATAAGCACAGTGACACCCAAGATTTGTTGAATTGATTGAGTGAGAGCTTCAGATGCAAGAATCGTCATTGTCTGGCCAGTGGACTGAAGAATCTCTGGGTCCCAGAGCAGAGAAAAGAGATCTCCCATCACAGGATCAACAGTCGAGAACGGCAGTCTGATATCATCAGCCTTCGAATTCATCCATCCAGAGACTGTAATGATCAAATTGGTTCTCTTGTTGTTGTGTAGGGGAACAAACTCGAAAGTTTTAACATCAGCAACTCTCTTTAGCATACCAGAGGAACCAACTCTTGCACCGATAGCTGTACCACCGATAGTAACAAGTGCAGTACCACCTGCACCGGCTAAGAACCCACTAGTTCCAGATATACCGATTGTTGCCAAACCAGCGGCGAAACCAGCACCGATAACTGGTGCCAACAACCCGGCACTTAACCCAAGAACCAACGAACCACCAACAGTGGCAAGACCAACGTACATGTACTTTTTCCTTCTCTGACGTCTACGTCTATCCTTTAGGATATCTTTCTCGTCCCAGACTTGGTCAGAGGCATCTTCCAATTGTAAGGCATCGGTGATTCTTCTCTCAAACTGGTAGATATCAGTTGGTTCAACGTCTAAATACCGGGCAAAGTTGATCAGAAGAGTACGAGATCTTGCATCGTAGATGGAGTCTGCCACGAGAACAAGAAACAGGTCACAGATAGCCGTCCAGGTGACGTTTATCTCCAACTTGTCGTTGCCAGAGATGTCCTCTGGCCGTATAACACCGTCATCGTTTTCGTCAAAGGTCTTGTCCAAGACGTTCTCTTGAGATTTAGACGACTTAACATATGATGGATTATCTATCCATGAGGTGCCTTTCAACGATCTTGATAGATCAAGTGGCTCAATGCCATGGCGCACCAAGTTGTCGAGCATCTTGGCCTCTTCCTCTGAAACATCCAAATGCGCATATAATCTTTCCAGCATCGTTTTGGACCACGTACCCATCATGGTCTGTGCGGTGATCATACGTTTGGCGAATTTCGATCTAGCAGAATGGCAGTACTTGAGCGCACCCCAAGTCGCTAGCTGTGTAGCCATTTCGTTCATCACCAGTTTCACCAGGCCCAAGTACGCCAGCTTTTCAGCATCTGTAAGTAGCTTCTTTGTAGTTTTCAGCTGATCAATTGCAGTGTGATCTTCTCTATGCACGTCGTATAGTTCATCTATACTGGAAACATCGTCGTCATCGTCGTCGTCATCGTCACCATTGATTGTATCCTTTTCAGCATTCCTGTCTTGCACAACAGCTGCGGACCTCTTCGGCGAAGATGCCTTGAACAAGAAGTTGGTCTTCTTGTCGGATTCGTGGTACATCTTTGCCTCTTCTTCAGCAGCGATTCTCGTGTACCCGTACGCCTCAGCAGAGGCGTGTACTTCTTCATTATCCTGTGTATCCACAACAACTTCACCCTTCTCTCCAAACACAACGTCATCGTTCGCAGTCCCCATATCCTGCCACCCATCTTCATCTTCAGCTTGTTCCTGAATAGGAAGCGCGCTCTCCTTACCCTTCTTACCCTTGTGCTTCTTACTGGGATCCACCACGGGTACTGGCAAGTGCACAGTAGGCACCAGTGTATTCCTCTCCTTCTTGAACAGGTCTCTCGCAATGTCACCATCCAAGGACAGAGTGCTCTCGTTATTCTTCAGCTTGTTCACCGGGCTGCTCACCGGGCTGTTCGACACAGACGGCAGGGGGGATTCTCCACCGAGGTTGAACTCCACGCAGTTCTCATGCTGTGAGCCGGTGGAACCCATCCCTTCATCGTTATACATAGAGCCCATCACGCTCGCTGTCCCAGCTTCAACCAATACACTCGTTCAGCAACCTCGTTCTTTCCTCAGCAGATGCCCTCAGCAAAGTCTCCCGTAACAGCAAGCACACTTCAAACAGAGAGACGACTTGCAATGCCAGAACATCAACAACAATGGAGAAGTAAACAAAGGCATTCTCCATACGACGGTTCCTTCATACGATTCACACCACCCAGACACCCAGACACCCAGACACCCACACATACGTGGTGTCCGGGTGTCTGATTACATAAGCAGCGAAATCATCCGGACACCACTCGGGACACCTTTTTCGCCCAAGCCGTGCTGGTTCGTGCAGCATCTTTCCACACACGCACGCAATAATTTTTCACTTCTCTTCAAGCGACTCTTTTTTTTTTCTTTCACTCTTTCATCTTCTTCCTTCTTTCATCTTCTTCAAGACACATATCACTACAACAGAAATGGCTCCAATCGTAAGTTAACCCCTTTCCCATGAGATGATGCTTGTGCAAAATACGCTTCCACTTATCTGAGTAAAGAATTGGAGAGACGAGTGCTCTCTATTTTGACGCTTTGCTGAATTTTATGGCTTTCCACCTCGTTACCATAATAGCAGTAGGCTAACTAACGCACAATTAGACCAACAAGAAGGCTAAGTCCGCCAACAAGTACACCGTCGATGTCTCCGCTCCAACCGAGAACGGTGTCTTTGACCCAGCTTCCTACGTGAAGTTCTTGAACGACAAGATCAAAGTTGAGGGTGTTGTCGGTAACTTGGGTAACGACATTGTCGTTGAGGAGTCCAACAACGTTGTCACTGTTGTCTCCACCACCAAGTTCTCTGGTAAGTACTTGAAGTACTTGACCAAGAAGTACTTGAAGAAGAACCAGATCAGAGACTGGATCAGATTCGTCTCTATCAAGCAAGGTACTTACAAGTTGACTTTCTACTCTGTTGAGGCCGAGGAGGAAGACGAGGAGTAAGAAGTTTTCATTGAGTGATTGATGACTACCCGCTAGTCATTTATTTTTACAATGTCATACCTTTCTGTTTCCTTTTTTAATGTTGCTTTCATGGGTTTTATGGTGTTTTAATGAAATAATCTAGAGTTTCTGGAAGTATCTTATAATGTGTAGATTAACTACTTCTTTCTGTATAGTCTAAAGAAGAACCTCATGTTCTCCAACTTGAGTGGGTAGTCGAATGATTTGTCACATCTGTACCAACAGCTCTCGCTTTGTTTAATCAAGTCCCAATCACCACTCTTTTGGTCTTTGCCCAGCAGTATTGTGTCTATGAGAAATTGAATTGGGAACTTCTTCTTGCCAACCTCTATATGGCTATAACTCCCAGCACTTTCAGTGATCAGCAGTAAACAACCTGAATGGCATTCTTTGTTCAAAGATTGGAAAAAGCGGAGGGATTTGGCCCTGTCCTCTGCAAACAGCTCATTAGTTGTGAACATTGTAGTTATAAGATCCACGGACGAAAGACCCAAGAGACTTGGTTCCAAGGATAGTACATCTCCATTCATAAAGTCCACATTGAAAGCATCTGGGCTTTGATAGGTCCAGTTTTTCTTAACCTCTGAAACAATCTTGCCAACGATCTTTGTCCAATCGGCAATGTCAACGAGCTTGATGTTGATCGAATCAGGCGTCTCGTTCAACGCCTTCAAACTCTGATGCTGGGTATAGATCGACCCCAGTGCAACCAACTCACCACATGCACCACCACCTATCACCAGGATGTTGGAGTTCTCTGACGTGATAACGGTTCTAACCTCCGCAAGAGAAGCAAACAAGGATCCATAGGCAAGAGACCTGGAAGGCGTCCATCTCACACAGTACGCCATTCTCCTGTCATCATCGCCAAAGGCCTTGATATAATCTCTGTTGAACAAATCACCCTTCACCGTCTGGATGAACGTCTCCAAACTAGGCGAGTCAAACAGATACTTGAACGACTGCTGGAACAACCTGAGCTCATCGTTCGCAGGAAGTGTGTGCTTCGACACAGGAGGAATCGCACTCATCTCCTTGTTAGAGCCCACCTCTATCTCATCCTCCTCCTCATCCACGTGCCTCTCCTGGTACCTCAGTTGTCTTCTACTCATCACAAACCTACCAATGGAGCTGAACAGGAGGAGGAAAAGCCCTAAACCCATAGAACCGAGAGTATATATAATACCCAAAAGTTTTCCAGCAGCGATGAGCTTGGTGTCCGGGTGTGCTGCCCTCGCCCGGCGTATAAAGGAAGTTTTTCACTGCTGAAAAATTTCTCTTCTTCTTCTTTTCCCTCTTTTCTTTCTAACAGCAACCTGTGTCATGGAACGACTCAATGGATCCGGATTAAATGCCTTGTGTGTTATCCGTGTGATGTTGTAGTTCAACGTTCTGTGGCAGTTCGGCGCACTTGAGAGGCAAGTCTTATTGTCTGATCAACATGGTTGTATCGAAGGGTTGGTCCTCCCGCAAGGGAGTTTTGAGCGACTCTTTCGGTGCAATTCGATCTAAGTACAAGTATTCTTCGGAGTAATGAGACAGGGCAGCCCCGTCGACAGGTTGTAGAGAGAGTGAGGTCGGTTTCGAGCTCTTATACGAAGTGTTTTACGGCGTTTTGTATAATCGAGTTCAACCACTTTTGTCACCTCACAGCAACATATTCCTGAACGCTGTGTAGGTCCTTTGGACCGCTGATCACTTGGGTAAAACCATGTTGCATACATCTACAATTTACTTTACGTGTATAGTTTGGTTATATAGCTATAGAGCCCTACGAGTTGAGAAAGATTAATTTTTTTTGTCTTTTATAACTTTGATATATAAAACCAACCCGACGAGCGAAGATCGTAACAGGAACAAACCATTAGATATAGAGAGAGAATGAGAGAATGCTTTTAGTGGTGGAACAAGCGGATTGGGTTCTCAACGTAAACCATCTCGAAAGAATCAGCTGCGGCAAAGACAGCAGAATCTTGAACGGAACCAGATGGCGCAGCAACGTACTTGACACCAGATCTTGCAGCTCTGTAGACGTTATCTGGGAATGGGAAGAAGGCATCAGAGGACAGTGCAACGTTGTTCAACTTACCAAGCCATTCTGCCTTCTCTTCAGCAGTGAATGGGGTTGGGACAGTAGCAAACTTGGACTCGAACTCAGACTTTTCTGGTTCAGAGGTTGGGATTTGACCAGTGACGAACAAGTCAATGGCGTTGGACTTGTCTGGTCTCTTGACACCCTTGGCCCACTCGAATCCCAACACTCTTGGGTGTTGTCTCAACCACCAGTTGTCAGCCTTGTCACCAGCCAATCTGGTACAGTGGATTCTGGATTGTTGACCAGCACCCAAACCGATAACCATACCGTTCTTAGCGTAACAGACAGAGTTGGATTGGGTGTACTTCAATGCAATGGTGGCAACGGTCAAGTCAATGACAGCTTGCTCTGTAAGGTCCTTGTTCTTGGAGACGATCTCCTTGAAAGTAGACTTGTTGATGATGGCATCGTTTCTCTTCTGTTGAAGAGTGATACCGTACACTTGTCTGGACTCGATGGAGTCTGGGGTGTAGTTAGGGTCGATTTGAAGGACGCAGTACTTTCCACCCTTCTTCTTCTTCAAGAGTTCCAAAGCCTCTGGCTCGAAACCTGGAGCAATGACACCATCAGACACCTCCTTGGAGATGATTTGGGCAGTTGGCAAATCGACAATGTTAGAAAGGGCGATCCAGTCACCGAAGGAGGACATTCTGTCGGCACCTCTGGCTCTTGCGTAGGCGTTGGCCAATGGAGACAAGTTCTCAATGTCTTGGACAAAGTACAACTTCTTCTCAGCAGCAGTTAAAGGCAAACCAACAGCAGCACCAGCTGGAGAAACGTGCTTGAAGGATGCAGCAGCTGGCAAGTTCAAAGAGGCAGAAAGCTCCTTAACCAAAGGCCATGAGTTCAAGGCATCCAACAAGTTGATATAACCTGGAGAACCACTCAGCACCTTGAATGGCAACTCACCTTGTTGAACAAAAGCTTGGGCTGGTTTCTGATGTGGATTGGCACCGTAACGCAATGGCAATTGAGACTTGCCCTCAGAGTATTGCTTTCTGAAGAAATCAGAGATCGCAGCGTCGTAGTCAGCAGTGTGTTCGAAAGCCTTGAGGGCGAACTTGTTCTTCAGGTCTTGAGAGATTTCACCACCCTTCAACTCCTGGAGGAACTCTGCGTAATCATTTGGGTCGGACAAGATCGTCACTCTGGCGTGGTTCTTAGCAGCAGCTCTCAAAAGAGTGACACCACCAATGTCGATCTCCTCGACAGCCTCGTCAATGGTGACGGAGATCTTGGAGATGGTCTCCTTGAATGGGTACAAGTTACACACGACAAAGTCAACCTTCTCAATGTTCTGTTCCTTCAAGTCCTTCTCGTCAGAATCCAAGTTTCTGGCAAGGATACCACCGTGAACAGCTGGGTGCAACGTCTTAACACGTCCTCCGAGCATCTCTGGAGCATGTGTGATGGAGGAAACGTCATCAACTGGGAACCCAGCCTCTCTCACCATCTTCGCGGTACCACCGGAGGCCAGGATACGCACATTGTTCTCGACAAGTCCCTTAGCAAGGTCCAACAGTCCTGTCTTGTCGTAGACAGAGAGAATAGCAGTCTTGGTGTAAGCCATTGTTATTATGTCTGTTACTCTGGCAATCACAAAAGCAGAGTCAAATTATAACCACAGTAACAACGGGGGAAATTAACTTAGCCTTCTTAGCACAACCAAAAAGAAAACAGATCACGATGAGTAAAAACCACCAGTTGTTTCAATTGATTCAAGCTCAACGAAGAAGAAGATGGAGAAGAAGAAGAAGAAGAAGAACCAGGCAAAATTGGAAGGAGAACAAAGAAGGAAAAAGATCCAGTAAAAATTTATTAAAAAGTGCAGTAGAAAAAAAAAGTTACGGGCAGCCTGTTCGCTCTCTCAATTTCTCAGCCAATTTGTGCGAATAATTTTCACTTTTTGCACGGGTCAAAAGCGCCAGGGGCGGCGGCAGGAAAAGTTGGGAAACTGTGGGCGGAGATCCGGGGAAAGGTTACCCTCGTTTCTGGTTGACTCGGGATAGAGGGCCTCAACAATGGGACCGAAGGCTCTTTATAATGGAGGAAATTGGGAATGGAGTATGCTGGCCTATGCTGGTGCTACATAACGGGATATTAGAGATGGATGGACATTGTTCGGTGCTAAATTTACACAGTGTTCCAGGTTAGCTGATGGCATACAGAGCCCTCGAGCCTGGAAAGAAACCCAGACACCAAGTCCACGCAGCCGCTAAGAAGGACCTTAACGGTATCTCCACAAGGACAAAGTGTTTTGCTTCTTCCAGGTGTGACGACGACCAGCCTTGGTGTTGTTGTATCTGTGACCCTTGTTGAGACCTCTGGACTTCTTACCGGCAGCGGTGAGACCACGAGCCTCACGGTGCTTGTGGACTGGCTTAGCGATCCAGTTGTATCTGGCATCACGTCTGATGGCCTTGTGTTGTGGGTCAACGAGGATAACCTCGAAGTACTTGTAGGTGGAGTCTTGGTTAACCCAGTAGGAGTTCAAGACTCTCAAGTTAGCAGCACGACGGCCAACACGCTCCTCAGCGGTGGTACGCAAGGACTTCTGGTACTTCAATTGAGAAACACCTTGGTTGGTTGGCTTACCGTAAGTAGCACCCTTTGGAACAGGTCTCTTTCTGTTACCTCTTCTAACTCTGACACGGTAGATAACGAAACCTTGCTTGGCCTTGTAACCCAAACGTCTAGCCTTGTCTGGACGGGATGGTCTGGAAGCACGGTGAATAACGTTCTTTTGACGGTATTCCCAAACTCTGACTCTGAACAAGAATCTGTTGACGTCAGATTGTTTCTTTCTTTGCAATTCTTCCAAGTACTTGTAGGCACCCATTGTTATCTGTCTGTTAGTATGTGTAACGAGATGTTCGAGGAACTACGCTAGGTGTGTTACTTCAAGGAAGATGTTTTCGTTGAAAAATTTTTGGGTGCTGTGTGCTTGGATGCCTCTTTGGTCGGGACCACACACAAGGTTTTCAAAAAGATTTAGGGCTTTTAATTTTAGTAAGTCACGTGAATGGAGCCCTAATGCGTGCTTCGGCGCAATTTTTTCGGGATATCATCGGCGGGTTCAGACTCCGCCATAGGTAAAGCAGCAACTCAACAACATACCGTGGATCATTACGTAGCGATCCACGCGTGAAAGATCTGTTATGGTTCAGTACCATAACATCATATTTGAATATCCCTGAGTATTTGCAGATATTTCCATGGTATGTTCTGTGTTTTTGACGTGGCAATGGATTAAGAGATGTAGGTAGTTGCATCCTCTTGTGGTTTCAACATGACATGTATACGCAGACGGTTGAGGTGCTCTGCTGAGAAAGGCACACACACTAAGCAAACACGGTTGGGGGGGGGGCGAAGATTGACTCACAAAACACGGCACATGATCAGTAAGCGTGCCTTTGTAGGTGCAACAGGGTACTACCACCACCAACAGCACGATGCGTTAGGTGTTGATCTAATTTGGCTGTTGATCCGCCTTCAATGACGAAATTGCGTGTGTGTTCCTGCATATCTTGCACCGTGATCCTCGGAAGAGCGTGTCAAACACTTGGTCGTTTCCATTCGAAACCTTTCAGCAATAATTAGGTAGAAGCGACACATAGAGATGTCATACCAGCGAAGGTCTGGCCTTCGATCACCGGGTGAAACGTTCAAGCGACTAGACAACAGTCTTTGACGGCGCACCTTGAGTTCTCATGTCGAACACCATCATCTATGTCACTGTGTTCTGTACTTTGGGTTTCATGATGAAATTCACACTTAATGCCGCAGCTGGATAACCTTAAGCGTTACAAGAAACGACGGATTTGTCACCAAAAAGTTTCAGTACAACGGCAGATGGATTTGCCTTATAGTATCGTGGGATGTGGAGTTATCATATAACATCACCTATAACCTGGACTCTTTCCATAGAACAGGTGACGATGAGTATTTGAGTCACGACATAGGCTGCGAACCAGCCCATGATTGCAACGATGTAGTACGGACAACGGAGTTCCTTTTACAGGTACATACCGGCTGTAGCTATCCCAACAGCCAGTACAAACACACATGTGCATCCTTGATTTCAAAGAGGAATGATCTCATAATGTTTTCGTAAATCAACTGGTGCGGTATTCCAGCCACTGAGCAAACAAAATATTCTGAAGATGGGCTGGGCTTACAAAAGCTTACAAGGTTTAAAGGAGATGCTCTAGTTACAGAGTTGTAACGTAGGAACGCGTACGCATATCCAAATGAAAACAAGGGGCGTCAAAAAGAAAGAAGAAATGGTTACCAGGGTAATGTAGAATTTGAAACTACACTGGATTTCATCAACGCCGATCATTTGTTTACACTTGCATGTGCTGAAAGCCTTGGCCTTTAAGGTACCGAATTTATTTATAAGGAACGGTTTACTTCGACTGTTGATAAATGAGCCTTCAACCTACGGAGCGACTTTCATCAAATTAACGCTACATTGTGACAAGGATCACACAAACAAAGGGGATTTTCTTTCAAAAAAAAGGTTAGGTGGAGTAATTTGAACATTTATCCACTGTCATTATTGTTATACATAGCTTCATTATGAGTTTAATCACAGATAGCTCGGTCGCACTTGCAACAGACACGCAACTCGCTACACTCTCGGCTCTTCCCACAGTGATTTTGCCCTCATCACAGTTATCTTCCGTGTCATCGAGCTTCTACACAGATCTTTCACAGGTGACTGACTTGTCTACATGGAGACAGGATAGTAGCTCCACCGAAATTTCAACTCCAGCTAACTCAACAGCGACTTCAGTGTCGTACGAGAGACAGACATCAGGAGCGATGCCAAATGGGCATAAAGACATCAAAGGTGTTAGCTGGAAAACGATGGCTTTGGTTCCTTTGATATTGCTGCTTCCAGCGCTGCTCTGAATACCCGTTGTAGCACTAGGAAGGCCGCTCAAGTCGAACATTTATGCTACGCAGCCAGTTGTCATCGGATTCACACACAGACATCAACCGACACACAACATTGGACTCACATTATATAGTGAAATGATACCCAAGACAAAGCATTGTATAGATTACAAAGCTACCATGAAATAATACTCCACTCAGCTTGAACTCTTCAATCATACGAGTCATAAGATTATCTAACCATTTTCGAGTCTCTCGTTTGTAGAGAGTTAATCACCAACTAAGCACTAACTCATCGAGTACTTCTCATTCTATTTTGATAAAGCAGGCCTACCTATCCAAATGATGAACAAGACTGTTGATAATATGCACCACGAACCACCAACTACGCCTAAATGATTGTATCTTAACTAAAAAATGAAATAAATTATAGAAACCCAACTATATACCGAAAAACGAAAAGCACGAAAACCCATATAGATTACATTCCAAATGTTTTAAAGACCCAAGAGGAATGGGGAAGCAACAAGAGCACCAATGGCAACACCGGCCTTCCAGCTCAAGTTCAATGTGACAGCACCAGAAGAGGAACTACTTGAAGAACTGTTTGTAGTGTTGGATGTAACGTTGGAATCGTAAACGACAGCCTTAATTGGGACCAAGTTGGAAGAAGAGATAGCAGTAGTCATTGTGTGTTGTGTATGTGATAAAACGTTGTTAAGAGATGATGGAGATCAATTGAATCTGGTACTGGAACTTGTGGAAAGGTCTAGTGCGATGATGATACAAAGGTTACTCAAGTTGACTACTTTGACGGTGGAATTGACCCTCTTTTATAGTTGAATCATTTCTTACCAATGTTCTAAATATGGTTTTTGGATCAGATTCTTTGGCATTATTGCGCACGGCTAAAACGCGAGGTGGTTGGTTCATTAATTAAATGTCTGATCCGATTGTCGATGCCTTCAACTTGATACTTCTAATAAAAGCGGGTGTGCATTCAACGCTCTAATTATCTGAAAATTGGGGTAGATAGTGGTTTAAAACTACTAACAAGACAACAAGATCCCAAGGATTCCAATGAGCCCAAGAACAATGTTTCTCATCAAGTATTCTTTGAATGGATACAGTTTCCAAGTTCTCTGGTTGTCTCGAGCGATGGAAATTAAACTTCTGATCCAAATCATTTCATTACCGCATTGGGAAAAAAGTAAACACTCAGGAACCGAGCGCCGTTTATAGTGGCTGGTTACGATGAATTAGCTGGATTAGTTTTTTTTAAGATTAGATATCCTAATCTATTCGTAACGTGGTCAGCTGTGTTCCTCTGGGGCTTCCATAGCTTGACGTAATTGTAAATCAATGGGAAAGCTGTACTGTGTGTAATTTATCAGTTTTGAACTTATATTGTCAACATCCGTGTACTCCACATCGAGCAAATTCATTGAAATGATGCACAGAATTTGATTGCTTTCGCATGATATATCAGACCTTTGATTTACAACAGAGAAAGACGAAAATTATTAATCAATTAGTGTGCTTTTCCATTGGATGTATCTAAGCTCGGAGCCTTCATGTCTGTGTAGACTGAGATAATATACAGAACAACAGTCCAACTGTCGTGACTTACCACTTAGGTTTACTTTATATTAAACTCTCTAAGCTAAAGTTCTACATCAAATATCCCATCAAGCAAGGGTGATGAAGAAGATCTACGAACGTTGCATCTATTACCACCGAATATACATCCTCAATATCTTTCCAAGTTCCGTCAGGGCATTCTCCAATGGTCTCTCAGAGCCAAATTAGCATATACATCCGCACACCACTTTATTGAAAAATGAAAAAAAAAACCGCAGTCCCTTTTGGGTGTACGGGTTTTATTCCTGAATCGACGCGAGCGGTTGGGCACCCAGCTACGCTGGTGAAAAAAAAATCAACATCACCAATTTCAATACAACACACCTCTGAACGTTTCTCTTGATCATTATCCTTGAAAAATCCGTTCTACAGTACAAGTCGAAATGGGAGGCGTTCGTGAAAAAAAAGCTGAGTACTTTACCAAGTTGAGAGAGTTGCTCGAAGAGTACAAGTCTATCTTCGTTGTTGGTGTTGACAATGTCTCTTCCCAACAATTGCACGAGGTTAGAAAGTCCTTGAGAGGTAAGGCCGTTGTCCTTATGGGTAAGAACACCATGATCAGACGTGCTATCCGTGGTTTCTTGTCTGACTTGCCAGAGTTCGAGAAGTTGTTGCCATTCATCAGAGGTAACGTTGGTTTCATCTTCACCAACGACAACTTGCCAGAGATCAGAGAGGCTATCTTGTCTAACAGAGTTGCCGCTCCAGCTCGTGCCGGTGCCATTGCTCCAGATGATGTCTGGGTTCCAGCTCAAAACACTGGTTTGGATCCATCCAAGACCTCTTTCTTCCAAGCTGTTGGTTTGCCATCCAAGATTGCCAGAGGTACCATTGAAATTACCTCCGACGTTAAGGTTGTTGAGGCTGGTAACAAGGTTGGTCCATCTGAGGCTTCTCTTTTGAACTTGTTGAAGATTTCTCCATTCACCTACGGTTTGACTATTGTTCAAGTCTACGATGATGGTCAAGTCTTCCCAGCTTCTATCTTGGATATCACCGATGATGAGTTGGTCAGCCACTTTGTCTCTGCCATCAACACCATCGCTTCTGTCTCCTTGGCTATCAACTACCCAACCTTGCCATCTGTTGGTCACTCCGTTGTCAACTCTTACAAGGACTTGTTGGCTGTTGCCATCGCTTCTAAGTTCATCTTCCCAGAGATTGAGGAGTTGGCTGACAGAATCGAGAACCCAGACAAGTACGCTTCTGCTGCTCCAGTTGCTGCTGCTGCTTCCGGCTCTGCTGAGGCTGCTCCAGCTGAGGCTGCTGCTGAGGAAGAGGAGGAATCCGATGATGACATGGGTTTCGGTTTGTTCGATTAAACGTAACGTTTCATTTCTCTAATGATAAACCAATACTTCCATCTCTACTTATCACCCTGTAGTACGCCCAGGCCTGCTGTAAGAAAAACTGTAAGGGCAGATTGGCCCGGGCCCACACTCAGGCGGAAACACACCAGGCGGGGCCACAGTTAGGCGGAGCGTTCCCCTAAGCTCAGCCTGGAGCGTGTGGTTGTTATTCTGCCACGACTTTGTCTCCTGTGTGCGGTGGGTGTTTTATAAAAAAAGGGTCAGCAGGCACGATCCAATTCTCACGTTTGACCTTTCGCAGGGTGTGTGGCCTTTGATTTGTTCCAATTGAGAAGTGATACACCGGTTGCTTTCGGTTGAATTAGACACTCAGAGAAAGACCAAGTTTCTATACACAGGAAAGAAACACGCACACACACATGTCGTCTAGAGACCAAGAGCCAATAGTACCACAGGGTTGGAAGGCCGTTTTCGACGAACAGTGAGTTCTGATTGCGGGCAAATGAGGTGGAGTAATCGTACTAACCAGCAGATGAAGGTATCAAACGTGGTTTTATGTTGATTTGAAGACGAAGAAGTCTCAGTGGGAACCACCTGCTGGCACCACGTTCCCAGGCGACGAGAAGGATGGTATGGGACTTCCACCGTACAGCGCTTCTGATGAGAAGGCCAATAATAAAGGCGATAGCAAGGGCAAGTCCACCAGCGGCGGATCAGGCCCATATTCTTCATCACAGGGACGCGGCCAACAGCGAAATGGCCAGTCCAACCAAGGTGGATACAACCAGGGCTATCAACAAGGATACCCTCAACAGGGCTACCAACAAGGATACCCTCAACATGGCTATCAACAGGGCTACCCACCACAGGGATACCAGCAAGGATACCCTCAACAATACCAACAGCAACCAGTTTACTACCAGCAACAACAACAACAACAACATAACCGCTCCAGGATGGGCGGGCTTGGAGGTGTTGCCGCCGGTGCAGGTGCTGGTTTGCTTGGTGGTATGCTCTTATCTTCTGCCATGCAACCGGACGTTGTGGTCAACAACTACGGGGACGACTACTACGGTGGAGACGACTTTGGTGGAGGCGACTTTGGTGGTGGTGGTGATTTCGACTTTTAGAAGCTCATGGCGCTTCGTTATCATCGCCATCGGCGTGTATTTATCAATGCCAAATATACTGGTTTTTGGTGCTTTATGATCTAACGGGCGCGCGTTTACCGGCGGATTAGAATCCTTTTTTGTACCCGTTTTCTTCCCATCTATTTCCGCAGTAACGGTCCCTTCCTGCTCCCCACATAACTCTCGTAGAACCGAAAACCATCCAGAATTTCCTCGAGATCTATTTGCCTCCATTGCCATCGGGTCCTATTACTAATGACCTGGACAACTGAAAGCCCAGCCCTTCTCGGAATTAAGGGATCGGCTCGGAGAAGCCAGAAAAAACAACAACACCAAACAAGAAATGATTTCTTTGCTTTCTGAAGGGACGGCCGGTTGTCGGCTGCATGGCGAAGAAAGAAGACGGAACTCGGCAATCGGGATTTAGCAGTTTTCTTTCCACCCTGCGCAATTGGCCTTTCTGCATGTGAGTCTTTGTATTTTGCAACAAACCAAATACCGATCGAAGCATATAATTTTAACAGAAATTTCTGCCTTGAACTGCACCACAAAAGCACATAAAGAACAAGAGAATAAACTAGAAAAATTTGTTTCAAGCTCTTATTTTGTTTGTTTGTTATATTTGTTTATCCTTCAAGTATTTCCTGTTTAACAGTCGAGGGGTTTTTTATACATCGCTTTCCAACTTGTTACAGCGGAGGCGTGGTGTATTCTGTTCTGGGGTTTTTATTCATTACCCGTTTTTAGCGGCTCGAATCCATAGCAGTACGCATACGAGACATATATACCACTTTGTTTTGATCTCCACCTCACGAGACGTTAGAAGCAATGCCGCAGATTTTGGCAAAGTTCTCACTTAAGGGATCCAGTGACAAGTCAAATTTAAAGGTGCGGTCCAGCAGCACGGGAGGCACATCGTCCAGCACGAACTCCAAACCAGCAAACAGCCTATGTTCAAGACGGATGAGCTCCACGGGCTCGATGGGTTCCATGGGCTCACGAGTGTCCAGTACCGCTATGATGACGTCTTCCAGTCTTGGTAGTTCTAGGAGATCCAAATTGACAATAGACACAGATCTACAAACAACGGGGTCTAGTGTCACGGCAAAACCCGTGGTGAACTCACCAGATTGGGAGATTAGGTACGATCCTACTCTATCTGAGTACTACTATGTCAACACCAAGACTAACGAATCACAATTTGACCATCCAGACGAAGTTCTATCTCCACTGGATGAAGTTCCTAGTCAGTCCAACTCTGGTGAACACCGTAAACTCTTCAGGTCGTGCAGCCTGAAGAGAACGATATCCCCAAGGCTACTAGCTATACCGAAAAAATGTCCAAGTCCACGTATACCAAACAAGTCGAGTGCTGCATCTTCCCCGAACCAGAGCGCTCAGAATCGCTCCAGTACAGAGATAGATCAGGACGTCGAAGAGTTCAAGAGACATTTTACGATGGAAATGCACGATTATGAAGCTCAAAGATTGAAGAACTAATGATTTAATGAACACTGCTGCTACCATTCCTTTTCTTGAGTTGTTCCGCCACATTGGTGGTAATATGCAAACTACTAATATGACTCCTTCATATCATTAGGCAATGTTTTGTTTTTAATTAACGATAATTAATGGTTTATGTCTTTCTTGTCTTTTTAACAACCGAGGTCTTTGTCGACGAAGACGTCGTCTGACCCGTAGCCGGGGCCTCTACCTTAGTGGACTCTTCTTTACCAGACTCATCCTTGGAGAGTTGGTCGTTATCTTTCAAATCCTTTGTTTTCTCCAACTCTGCGATGAACCACGTCAATGTGCCCCACAGTAACAGCGCTAATACCAATAGATTGATTATGTGGATCGATCTCGTTAAAAATGAAAAGACTGTGAGCAGCGTAACCAACAATGCGAAAGTAACGTGTGTGGCCAACACAAGCGTCGGCGTAGCACCCGGTGTAAAGATTGACTGCCAAAGCTCTTCTATGAACCCAATCATCCTATCTATAGCGTTCAAAATGGTGGTTGGTCCAGGTAATAATCAAAAAAGTGAACAAGTAAAGATGTGAACAAGTTTATCGAAAAGAGCACTGCCGAGATGTGTGTGATTCGCGAAATTACGGAAAAAGGACAAAGCACACACACGCGCTCTTTCAAGTGATTTTACGTTGGTGGAGGGAAGGAGGAACAACGTGAGAATATCAACAACAGCCATCGGCTTTTGTCCATTTATAGATATCTCAGCACGACAATTGTGCACACATACGGACGTTTGGTTGATAGCAATGGGTAAATTTGCACCAAAGGAGCCAGTGGACCTGGACCCTCCAAGAGATGATCCTTTCACAAAGGAGGAGTTGTTACAATACGACGGTATGTTATCGGAGGACCATTATATGTTTCGACAACGCGGAGATCGAGATAAAGAAGTGCCTTATTCTAACATTTTTCTTTCCATCTGATGAAGGGGTGACAAAACCACAGAGATACATTGGCATAAAAGGTGTGATATTTGACGTTACGAAGAATGTTGCTGCCTACGGCCCAGGAACAAAGTATAGCGTCCTGGTAGGACGCGATGCCAGTAGAGCACTGGGCAAATCGAGTTTGAAACCAGAGGACACAGATATCACCGTTAGTTCAGACGTCTCAACCTTGACAGAAAAGCAGTTACAGGTGCTGGATGACTGGTACTCTTTCTTCAGCCAAAGGTGAGTCTTTACAATCTATGCATTAGGTGCCTGCTTTTTTATACAACACACTAACGAATCCTGCTTCCGACTTTATAGATACAACATTGTGGGTAAAGTGGTTGATTGAGAACGTTGAGAAATGCCCACGGCTAAGAGTTAATCCCTATTTAATCTATTCTAACTTAACAGTGACTTGTTTATCACTGGTGTTGGTGTAGTTGATTTCGGCATTTCCTAATTGATCCAACTTTTTGCGAAACCGAGAAACACGCCAAAGTCAGTGCAAATAGGTGAAATTACGCACAATTTTGTGTTTACGCATGCATGGAAAAGAAAAAAGAGCCGAAAAACCCTCGCAACAAAGCAAAATAAACAAGAAAAAGCGTTGAAAGCCGTTTCACTCGAGAGTGTTGTAAAAAGTTTTCACCTGTTTGGCTGGCTGGCTGCTCTTTTTTTAATAGCAGTTGCTTCCCGCACCTCTTATTCCGGGCTTCAATTATTTACCCTTTCATCAGACTAGATCGAGATCAGATACCTGGATGTCTTTTCGGTTGTCCATCACCGTTGATCTTTGTTTCGTTTTCGTTTCCGTTTTCGTTTTCCCTGTGTGTTTACGTTTTTCCTTTGTGTTCCTGCTTTTTCGCATTTTCGCAAAAAGTTTACGCAAAAAAGTCACGCCGATCCTCTTCTCGTTTCCTAATTTTAGTCAAATATTTTCGCTAACCAGAACCAGCCAAAAACACCACCAACCACTCCTCTCACCATACCGTATCGCTTTGGAGAGATACAGCCAGACAGACAGAGAAGCAAAGGTACCAAACTCGGCCAAATAAAACCCCGGACTCTTCTCTCTTTTCTATTTTGCCCTTCATTTCCTTCCTGGACATTTACAATCGCTTGATCTGTGTGTGTGTTTTTCAGTTGGGCAAAATATCCCCTTCCCTTTCCTTGCTTACATCAGGGATCTTCGCTATACAGACAGATTGATCGTATAGGCATTGTAAGGATACCCCCACTGGGCTTTTCATAGTGATTGCTTCCATTCAGGACGTTTCTTTTGCGCCTACTGGAGTTGTGCCCTGTCTTTTGCCTTGTTTCTTCCTCTCTGCCAATTCCCGTCTGGCCCATAACTAAGTGACATGCATGCTGCTAAGGTGTACAAGAACAACCCGAGCGCGGGCTACAACAACGGCTCGAACAATTCTCAGCTGAGGAACCATCTGCTGAGCACTGACTATGGTGATATCGACGTGACGAAGGAGACGCCGATTAATGGGCCAGGAGGTGGTGCACAATGGGTTCAACAACCTCAGCCTCAGCGTTATCAACAACCGTATCAACAGCAACAACAACAACAACAACAACAACGGCAGCAGTACTATCCACCGAATCAGTCTTATCAGGCCGATCCATACGCACCGTACGTGCCACCTAATCACCAATTCCAACAACCGATGATGAGACCGCCGGTGATGGGGGGTTCAAGGAGGTCATCATTGGCCAGTAACAACAGTAGTACGACTTTGAACAATTTCCTACGATTGGGGAAGAAGAAAGGTAGCGGTGGTGGGAAAGGAGGCTTTGATGACGAGGAAGAGGATGGTGGTAAGGACTTTGTTTCCGACCCTGCTGCACAGGTTTATTCGTTTGAAGACTTGAGCTCTATCGCAGATCGTGGCCGCTATGGTGCCCAGGCACATTACCAGGATACCGCACCTATCATCCCTACGCTGGCTTCTCCTTCTATGAGGCCATCCGGGAACATATCGAACACACAGTACAGAAAGCAGATGACTGCTATGAAGAAGCAAGTGTTCAATCAGGCTGGTAAGCCACCAAGGGGGATGAATGGAATGCCACCAATGGACCCGAGATCGATGTCCATGCAGACGATGCGTAATCCTTATAATCCTCAGGATCCAAGATTGGGATCTTTCACTGGACAGCAAGGAGGTCCACCGCCACCCGGATTCATGAATAATCCAAGGGCAAACTCGATGTCCAACGTTCCTCAACAACAGTTTGAATCTAATGGCAGAGCTTACTCTTTACAGACGAGTAATCCGTATCAACAGCAAAAGCAAATTCAAAAGCAACCACAACAGCGGAGAGGTTATCCACCTCAACAAATGCAACCAATTCCTCAGAGGGGTCCATATCAGCAGAATAATAATCATTCCCAAGTATCGCTGTCTCAACAGCAGCAACAGCAGCAGCAACAGCAACAGCAACAGATGACGTATCCAGGAAGGAGAATATCAGTACCTAAAATTCCATCTCCTTTAAAGGATGGTTCTGCTGATACAAGTCGACAACTGCAACGAGATGAAAGCTTTTATGACCAACCAGCTACACAGAACTATGAGAGGGAAACTAACGAATTGTTGCCTAAGTCGGCTCACTCAAACCATCATTTTCTAGCTGACAATGTTGTCAACAGTGAGGATAACTCGTTTGACAATTCAAACCACTCAGAAGCTCTTCCAAATGACGAATCGACACCCACATCTGAGCGAAATGGCGATGTTACTATTGACTCACAGGAATCGCCTTCAAAATTACCACGCTCAAAGGGTTTACCAAGACTCAGTTTATTGAGTATGAAAGACGACGATGATGATATATATGACGACAATACTTTGAAATACCAATCCCGTCCACTTGAACCTGTTCAGGAGAAGTCTGCCGTGGAGCACTTCAGCAACGAACCATTAGCTCAGTCAACTCAGCAGAGAAAACCAGATCATCAAGGACATTCCAAGGGTGTATCTCTTTCATCAATGAGTGCATTCTCAACAACTTCCGATTATAACCCAGAGCTCACTAACTCTAGGAAACTGTATCAACTGTCTGGTGGTTCTCACTCCAACGACGTCTTTGTCACTGCGTCACAGTTTAATTTCACCCCATCTCCAGATGTGCATGATAGAACTGAAACTGGCAATGACTTCCAGGAGAAACAGCGCCACTCGTCGATATCGTCTTCTCATTCTATGGGATCTTTGAAGAATGCTTTGAAATCACCAAAGTTTTTGAGAAATTGGTCGAAGAAGAAGGCTCCAAAACACAGCATTGATGAGACCGCAGACTCCCATGATGATGCAAGTATACACACTGTAAGCCATGGCAAAACATTGACTCGTGATGCTAATGTTGAAACTCTTCCTGTTATGGAAAGTAGAGATGTCAGTACTGGTCTTGACAATGCGCCAAACATTACAACTGAATCAAAAAAGATGGAGCTTACTGTTGATCAATTAGGTGTTATGCAGGAGAGTACATATCTAATCAGGGAGTTGAATCTGGTATCAAGTGAACTTGCTGCATCTGTTAAGAGAGAGATTGCACTAGAGGAAAAGCTCAATGGCGTCTCCAGTGTATCCAATTCATCAGTATTGAAGGAGCAAGACTATGCGATCGAAATTGCCAGATTGGTTCAAGAAATGAATAATGAACGTCAAAAGAGGTTTATCGCAGAAGAGCACGTGCTACTAATGGAGAATGGAACAAAGCCTTCGATGTTGGAGTTAAGTTATGAGAATGAAAAGTTGAAATCCCAAATCAGCATGAAGGATGAGTTGATTGCCAAACAGTCTGCCGAGATTGAACAGTTAGCAAAGGACGAACCTGATTTGAGACACCAGTTGGACATCTTGACCAAGAAGAATAAAGAATTGGAGTCCATTACTATTCCCAAACTCAAGAACGAGATTGAAGTTTTGTCGTACGAGAACAAGAAGGTTACCATTTTGAGTGAAAAGGTTAAGATCTTGAGAAACGAAAAGCTTCAGCTCGAAAAGATGTGTTCCTCCAAGCCGGATAGTGGTAGCTTCAACTCTGCTACGAAGAATTTCTCTGCGGACTCTCTTTATCAATCTGCAGAGACCACTCCAGTCAAAGCTGATGGAACTCATCCATCCCGAAACTCACCATTGAAACCACCAACCAGTCCATTCAGGAATATGCATAGACCCCCATCGTTCAATCTTATAAACGTCACTGCGTCTACAAAGGACTAAAGGTGGCTGATTAATATACGTGATATAATTTTGATGATCTTGGTTGTGCCAGTATGATGCGAGGACCACATGTTCACTAACGCTTTCCCTTCATTACTCAAATAATGCTCGGTGCTACGTTGTGACGTATGAACCCCTTTGAAACGTTGCGTTTTGACGTGAACTCTGGCACTGTGCAGTTATTGACAACGAGGGTACAGTTTTATCCTGTAGCATACGTTGATGAGCATCACATCTCATGTGAAAGTATAGTTACTGCACAATGTATAAAGAGGAGAAACATTAGCAAGAGCCCGATCTTATGAAGAGAACGTATATGCTGTTACAGAGTTACTAGCTTAAATAACTAACACAAGGTCGATAAGTCAATGTAGCCCCATTGAGGTTTAAATGTTTAATAGGTGATGTATACAATGAAAGTAGCAGATGAGAGTTGTAAGAAGACAAGACTGATTGAAAGAGTGTTGATGGAACCCCATATGTAAGCCTTTAATAAGCCCTCTGTCTAACAGGCAGCGCTCTACTTCAAGCTCTTCTCTCCATCGAAACTACCCCCATATTAGTTGAAGTAGTGGCCCAAGCTCAAAACATCGACAAAACGAGTTCGCGGCCTCGCAAAAATAACATCAACAAACTTTGTGCTACCCAGAAAGGCCTCTCTGTCATTGTTTACATTTTGTTAGCACAGGGCGCTTTACTTCACAGATGAGTTTTCACAGGAAAAGACAGTTCGGTAAGTCATTTGGATGATGCTCAATGGATCGCACACTTAAACAACACAGTTGTGTACTAACATCACCGTGCCATGGCTTGAAAGACAATGAGTACAACGAGGACTTTAGAAAGAGGTCCCGTCCATCTTCCAGAATGGGGGATTTCAAGGCCCTCTGTAACGATATAAACACCCTCGGTGAGACCCCGAAGAAGTACTCCGAGGACGTTGAGTTTATGACTACGCCGATTGTGAAGAATTTCGAAAGTGACGACTTTCGTAAGGCGGTGCTACAGACTTTGTTTGGTGTTGTTACGGAACAACCACAGAAGATGCTACACATTGCTGGTCTTGTACAATCCGTGTACGTCCAGAGTGCATCTGTTGGTAGGATGATTGTGGAGTTCTTCCACCAGGAGGCACAGGTTATCCTTGAAAAGGCTGTTTCGAAAAGCATCAAGCCTAGCTCTTCTGATACGGGTCCATGGAACAACGTTAAACTCATTCTCCGTTTCTGGTCATGTTTGGCATTCATCTTGGATACTCAGAGTGTCTCGAACGTATTCACTCAGCTTCTGAAGCTCTCTATTGGATTGCAGGATGCCTCCCCGGATTCGAGATGCCCACTTGCGGAAGCTATCTACTATAACACATTGATTTCAGTTCCATACTTCCATCCATTCATTACAGACAAGACTGAATATGGGACGGTTGTCAATGGGCTTATCGAGACGGCTAAGGGGTTCAAACCTGTCCCCTCAAATGTCACCATTACGAAGCCATTCTCCGAGCAGAGTACAGAGCAACCGTTCGAACCCAAGGAGGTTGTTGCTTTGGTGTTGGAGTCCTTAAACTCGTTTGTATCCAATGACGTTCGTTTGTTCTTGGATATTAGAACACAACTCGGTACTTTACTCACACCAACTGATAAGATGGAGTTGCCACCTTTGAAACTTCCAACTATTGAAGAGTTAAAGGAGATATCCGGGTTGGACAGTGGCTTGGGAAGCGTTGATGGAATGTGGAGAACTCCAAGATTTACCATGGAAGTTTACCCACCAATTGGAGATTTGCAAACCACACCACCTTCTGATTCCTTTGTTGGATTGATCTTGAGGGACATTGTCACAGATATCATTGAAGCCCTGGAGTTCAACAGAAAGGAGGTTGCCAGACAGATTATCACATTGGATTTGTTCTTCAATGATAATATATTTGCACCACCAGGCTCAAGTATCGATTCTTTGAAGAAATTGCAAGAGAACAATATCGAGAACGGAACTTCTTTCTCTACGTGGAAAATCGAGGATATTGCCATTGAAACCCTTCTTGGTTTAATGTTTAAACTTCCAACGGCTTCACAGCCATCTGTTTATTTTTACACCACTTTGGTTGAAGCTTGTTCCAATGCTCCTCAAGCCATTGCACAAGTTATTGGAAGAGCCATTAGATTCTTTTACCGTAACGTTTACCATTTAGATTTTGAGCTTACTCTTAGATACCTCGATTGGCTATCCATTCAGTTGAGTAACTTCAATTTCACTTGGAAATGGAACGAATGGGAAAATGATGGTGTTAGATTCGCAGATTCCAAGTATAATCCAAGGGTGGTTTTCATCAGAAATCTGGTTGCTAAAGAGTTGAGACTTGGTAGTTATGAGAGAATCAGCCAGACATTAACTCCTCAACTTCAGAGGTATTTGGATCTTTCTCTTTTCAACGCATCTGAATTGAGATCATTCTATGGTAGGGTCACCGATAAGGATGATTTAGCTGAAGATGCTATGAATGTTTTGTACGTCTGTGACAAACTTCCTCTAAAGCCATATGTCGAAAAGTTAATTGAAGTCATCCATACAAACCAACAGCCACAAAATTTGCAACAGGCCATTGAAGAGTTGAAAACTGTTACCGAACCTTTCACCAATGGTGAAGAATTGCTCATCACCATTGTTTTCCAAGCTATTGCGTTTGTTGGAAGTAAATCTACCTCACACGTTGCCAAATGTATTGATTCGACTCGTGATCAATTGAAGAACCTTTTAAGTCCATCATCTGATGAAATGGATGATGAGCAGAAGGCCTTAGAAAAACAAGTATGGGCTGTTGGAGCTGTTCTATCTTATTGGAATCAGGATCCTCATTGTGGTTATCTAGCTGTTGATGTTCTGGAAAACTTTGGAGTGGTTTCACCTTTGGCTGTTCTCAAACACTCTTTGGACGACTCCCGTGACGTTAACATTGGGCTTGTTAACGTTGCCACCATTGAATCGATCTTTAGAAGCTTAACACGTGTTGTTTTCTCCGGTTCAAGTACCAAAGAGTTAATCTATGTATTTGAAACATTATTGAAGACTATTTCAAAAACATGTCAGGTGTTGACACAGTCCGAAGCCATTCCAATTCCTGACGTTGAAGCAGATGTAACAGAAGAGGTGGAACTTTCCTGGAAGTACCACACAACTCTTGGGTTTGTTAGAGCCGTGTTGAGAAAATTTTCAGATGAGTACACTTCTGTCTCTAATCTTGTCGATGTATTGGAGAAAGAGGTTTCACATGAGGATACGAAGAGGGTCATAAGGCTCTGGATTGAAAACCTTTCAGGCCTATGAAGGATTTCTAGTGTATCTCACTATTCATTGCTACGTAAAGTGTTGCAAAGTACTTAAATAAAGGTCATACAGGCATTATTGGAATATAGATATGCTATAAGGATCACAACTAGGAATTAACCCCCTTCCATAATTCTAACAGCACACGACTAGGCTGAAACGATCAGAGGTGAGGAGCATGTGTCTTTGCTCTCTCCTGCTTGAACATCTTTGTAATTTTGTTGTTCTTGTAGTAGAATTCGTACAACAGATAAACACCAGCACCGTAAAGCACCGTAACGCCAAACAGATAACTTGTGAATTTTGAACGGGAGGTGGCATTAGAGGCAACTGATTTGTTGAGTCTCAAAGCTGATGAGTGGAAAGATCTGATAGCAGAAGAAGAAACCATTTTGTGATTTATGTATTTAAGCTGTGTGTGTAGTTGCGCGATTCTGATAAAGATTCAACTAAAGAAGTGGTGACCAAAGAGGTAAGTGGGACTACAGGTGGTTTATATACACGACCAGGACCACAGGGAGTCGTACAAGGTATACATAGAAGTGCTACAAAGGGCAATTGTTATGAAACCATATAAACCATGCTTCAACTGTATACGCTATTCTGAAAAAAAAAATCGACTGATCTGTGAGCTGGCTTAATACTCATCATATTGAGAATGCAGCATTAAACAAGGCAGGTTTACGTAATTTCCTGCTACAGAAACTGGGGAAATAGGAAGAGAGACAAAAAAATCACGTTATACTATTGAGCTGTATCATTTTTAATATCGAACACGACAGAATTGCACTCATAAAGTATGCATACGTATGGGGGAGATGCCTTTGGTGGTGGTGAGGGAAGTAGGACAAGCTTCAGAAAATTGGGTCAGACCACATGGATCCGGAAATTTCGTATGATTTAGATCGGTTGCAGCAATGATGGAACGGATAACAAAGGGGACATAAAAACACGCTAAGCCAGTTCAATTTGCACATAGATCAAGGCTCGGGTAATCACAGCAAAGTTTCTCCAGCAGCGACAACTGTGGCGTCAGTGGGTCCATATTTCAGTTTGGGGGTTACGTATGGAATCATCATGTCATTTGCATCTTGAGTTTTACACCTTCCGTATCATTATCGAAGTTTGTGGTACGATTCGTCAAAGATGTATTGGATAAAGCCGTATTTGACCAAGTCATGTGGCACTCAATAGCTTGGTACTATCAAAGAGCTAAAGCAAAACTTATGGTGTCATTTTCTCGGTAATGTCCAATGCTAATGAACAGTTGAAAACAGCTTAACAACCAATGTTTGAGAGTTGCAGCTGCCTATGCTGCCTGTGTTGGTTGGGGCGGCATTGAGTGCGAGAACCAAAAGTAAAAAATCCTTGCAACGCTATATGTGAGGAGGCGGTGGGTGGAAGAAGGCTCTTTAGCCAATGTATATAAAACCACAATGAAGGCGTTTATTCTTTCCGATTATTAGCTACAGCTCTTGTTACCTAGTTGTAACAGTACGTAGCTGACTGGCTTCATGGATTAAGTGCCGATAATGATGCTATATACGTTCTCTTAACGGAGTTTGTCATCGCCAGTTTTGGATAGAGTTCCCACGAATGACAAATCTAAAGGCTTGAGAATACAATCTAGAAGGCTTTCACATTGGGAAAAGCTCATATATATCTATATCTATATACAGAAGGGGGTGCGTGATGAAAGACGTGGTTGCTTTGTAATACGGTAGCTTAACTACTCTTCATCGTCGATAAGGACCTTGCTGTCTTCCAGAAGCTGTGTAAGCTCACCGGAATGTGCCATTGAAGTGACAATATCACAACCACCGACGAATTCTTTGTTGACATACAGTTGAGGGATTGTAGGCCATTCACTGAATTCTTTGATTCCTTCACGAAGTTCAGAATCCTCCAACACATTGAAGGCGGCAAATTTCTCAGGATCAACACCAACCTGGCCCAGGATGTTGATTGTGGCCCTTGAGAACCCACACATTGGTTGTTCCGGGGTACCTTTCATGAACAAAACTACTGGAGCAGATGCGACGGCTCTTTCAATAGCTTCTCTGGTCTCTGTAGAGAGTAGCCTAGTGAACGAAGAGGAGATGTTCTTGGAGGCTGGGAAACGAGTCTTCGGGAGTGTTAGTGATCTGGGCCCTTTTCACTATATTGCCTTTTCCTTTTTCAGTTATGTAGCTGTACTCACGATAAGTCTTGACTGTTGACTGATGATGGATCTGAACATTATGCGAATAAATAGTAGGTTTAACAAGGGTTGGTTTGTAATCAAGCTGTAGTTGTTTTGTAAACTGTGGGAATTATCGCCATTCACTGAATATCGGTGGAAAAACGGAAATGGAAACTCACCCGGACATTCCTAAAAAGTGAAATGGAATTACGTAATAGCCATAAAGCGCATTGTACTGTTTAATAGAAAATACAGAGACGTTTTGGGCATCGTGAACACGTCGAATCACCACTAAACATGGCGTGAACAGACAAATGCCGAGGAAATACAACTCTGATACATAAGCGAAACGTGTCAGGCAGCTAAAAGGAAGAATCATCGAAATGCACCTACCAAAGGAAAAGGCATTCACCAAGCAGTGATCAATAAAAGGAGGGGTAGCCATCGATGGTCACTCTGCGTTGTTTGATTGAGTGAATTGGAGAACGATTGTTGTATTGCATACAACAGGTGATCTCTAATAGGACATAGCACTTAGTAAGCATTACACAGTGCCTGGCTTACACGACCGAGCAACAAGAAAATCACAACATGAAATTATGTCAGATCGGAGTGTAAATCATACCCAACACGCGCGCGCGCCTCGGTAATCGACTGGCCCAATGGTTGTTATGGGATGGCTTTTCCCACTGGCAATGGTGTCGTACTCTTCCAAACATTGCGGCGGTATAACAATACGATGTCTATACAGTCAACCACAAACACTGTAATTACACAAGGGCCATAATAGCAATTATATAACTGAGTATATACCTTCAACAGGGGTTGGCCCCTAACTGCCTCCTTTCCGTTGTTGTTTTGCTCTGTCTGCTTTTCTTAGAGCCTCGAAAACTTCCGTACTTTCCCCCTTTGCTGGCCCTCCGTTGCCCTCGCCCCGCCAAAAGCAGAGAGAAATCGAGAAAGAAAGCATAAGAAGAAAAGCAAAGAAACTTAGGTAGCAGCGAAAGGAGCGAGGGACTTTCCAATTGAAAATTTTCTTGCTTTTGTTCCTTTCCTTCTCTTTTTATACTTCCAAAACAACCGCTCTGGAACCCTTTGTTTCGTTGTTCACAAGCATTATTTTGACCTTCTGTGTGTGTGTGTTGTTTTTGCGTAACCGTTTTTGTGAAACCGTTTTCGTGTAACTGTTTTTGTGTACCGGAAGAATCTAAAAAAAATTTGACGGCGGCTAATCTCTATAAAACAACAACAACAACTACAACTACAACTAAGATGCCACAGCCCATTTTGAACAGGCCCAATCAACAGACGATCTACTCGCAGAGGTCTGAATCCACTTCTCAGCTGAACGATGCCAGGAAACTGCCCTCAATTTCAACTTCCATGGGTTCTAACACCGTTGCTTCCAACATCGCCAGCAGCATCATCACCCCTATAAATCAGGGCAATACTACACCATGGCCTTCACTGTCACAGGATCCTTCGACCGATGCACTTACACCGACAGTCTCTGTCAATGGGGCAAAGTACTCTTCTGTTTCGTTCACAGTGCCGGATATGCCTGATAAACCTCACAGAGGTTCCATCAGCGCAAGACCTTCTTCATCACAGATACCACAACTGTTGACGTCACAACCTTTGCCGTCTTCGCAAGTTCCAACAGCACCTCAAGATCAGCAACAACAACTGCAAGATCCACAGCAACAACCATCACATCAACAGGTGCAAGATCAACAGTCGTGCACAACTCCTCTCTCCTCTACTCGCCCAGGTTCTGCAACCCCGATCAAGACAACCCCACCAACGTCTCACGATGTCGGGTTTCCAAATTACGCTGCTCAGGTGAACGTGTCAAGACAACCTTCATTGACCGCTCATCCACAACAGCCTAGAAATCTGAGCATAGGTAGCTCAGGATCTGCCTGTTCCTCGAGGCAAAATTCATCTGCTAATATGGATTACCTCCAATTCACAACCACGCCACATACTTTTGCCCATGTTGGACGAACATCACCGGACTCCATTAAATCTTCGTTAGATTTTGAGTTGAAATCTCTCTCACCAACATCGCAACCAGCGCCAACTTTCCCCATCGATATTCCACTGACCAGTTTGAACAATGGTGAGCTGAACCCAACTGCGAAGAAGGTTAAGGAAAAAATTCCAAAGGCAATCATTGGAACTCCAACTGAACAGGTTCCATTCCATGAATTTTTCCAAAAGCAAGACGATGGTAAGATCCATATCTTGATCGGTGCTACAGGTTCGGTGGCAACAATTAAAGTTCCTTTGATCATTGCTAAATTGTACAAGATATTTGATCCCTCGAAAGTTTCTATTCAATTGGTTGTTACAAAATGTGCAGAACATTTCTTGAAGGGGTTAAAAATTTCCACAGAAGTGAAGATTTGGAGAGATAACGAAGAATGGTATGGCTATAAAAAATTAGGAGACCCAATATTACACCAGGAGTTGAGAAAATGGGCTGATATCTTTTTAATCAGTCCTATGAGTGCAAATACTTTGGCAAAGATGGCGAACGGTATCTGTGACAACTTGCTTACCGCAATAATCAGGAGCTGGAACCCTCAATACCCAATGTTAATTGCTCCAGCAATGAACACATTCATGTACACACACCCTTTGACCAAAAAACATTTGACATTTCTCAGAGATGAATGTCCATGGGTTGAGGTTCTGAAACCGGTTGAAAAGGTGTTAGTATGTGGTGATATCGGTATGGGTGGTATGCGTGAATGGAGTGATATTGTGGAAATTCTCGTTAAAAAGATTAAAAGTTCTGAAGCTGCGAAGAAGCCATATGATCCAGAAGGTATTAGTGGAGCTAATGGAAGTCAAGAGGAAGATGAGGAGGAGGAAGAAGGAGAGGAAGAGGAAGGCGAAGAGGAAGAAGATGACGATGACGACGATGATGACGATGACGACGATGACGACGACGATGATGATGATCAAGATAACAATGATCAAGTTATTGCTGATGCTATTGTCGAAACAACAGATTCGAAACCACCGGTTGACAAGTCATGATTTGAATCGTACATATGGTTCTACTTCATATTTTATGTTCTCTACCGTCATTGTATGGTTGCATCTTGGCCGGTCTATCTGATGAACCGGTGATTCGTGTATTTTTTTTTTTTTTTTTTTGGTTTTTTTTGTTGCCTTTTTTTTCTTTGTGTGTTTGTGATTATTATCAACTTCTTTTGGCTATCAACTATATTGCATAGGTTTATCTTGGAAATGTGTTGGATCGATAACAGCAGTTACTTCACACACGGAAGGTACGGTGCTACAATATTGCCCTGTATCAAACAGATAACTAATCTACTTTACATATCGACATTAATAATTCTTAGTCATACATTCGTACCTTATTGTGCGAACTCATAAATATAATATCCAACGATACGTTCCACATTAGATAGGAAATACTCAACTGCACCATCCTTCAAAGTCATCGCTCTTCATATATTCATGGATGTCTGCAATTAAACCAACCCATCTCGTCAAGATCTCTATCTTACTGGCCGAAGGACGTTCATCGTTTTCAAACCATTGTAATTGTGCGGATCTGAACTCAAACGCTAGATGGTTGTTCAAATCACTGGACTTGAATGGTTTCAAGAGACTCAAATAATTTATCAGGCCAATAACTTCATTCAATTGCTTCGAAAGCCTTGGAACAAGATCGCTGTTCGTCATAAGAGAATTGATGATGATCTTGCTAATGTTGACGGATCTCACAGACTGTTTGAATATTAGAGGTAAGAATGGGGAGATCGGGAGATTGAGGTCAATGGAGTTTGTGTTGTTCTTGATCGCCGATAATAAGTTGGTTTGTATTGTTATGTGTTTCTTCGCCAGTCTCAGGCACTTCAATTGTTGATCATAGAGCAATTCTTCATCCAGTTTCTCACGATGACTCACAATCACCTCTTCAAGGAATGCCTCAATCTCATACTTGGAGACAATGAAATCCCAAAAGGTTCCAGATATCTGATCTTGTTCCACATTTCTGTTAAAAGTGTCATGAGTAAGCTTAGACTTCAATTTCATAGCCTTGCATACAGGTGATACTGGCGTATCCCTTGGTGATTTCCGCATGTCTCTCAGATTGGATATCTCAGCCAACTTCAATCCCAACATCATATTGTTCTTCGCCAAATCAAAGTTTTTAAACGTTGGGAACAGCTTTGTTACGGTGCTTGAATCAAAAACAAGTCCTGTTGATGACGGCTCACCAATTGAGAGAGATTCAAGAGAGTCAAGAATGATTAAATAAACGTATAGTCTTTTCAACAAGGACGAATAATCGTCATAGTTGCTGTTAGTAACAACGTGGCTTTCAATCCAAAACAGTTTAAAAACTTTAAGACGGTTGAATACACCAACGGATTGTCTTATGTTGAGTTCCTTTGTAAACCCCAACAAAACCACGGAGTAACACAAAGTTACTATTGACATCCCCAAAAGAATAACGACATTTTGTGAGTATATGGATATATTTCCCGTCACTTTTGTAGCAATCTTGAACCAACTCTGGAACAGTCGATTGATAGAATCTTGTAATACTGCTGAGTCCATTCCCAACCCTAGAACATTTGGTGTGGAAGTCCTTGTCGTTGTGGAGAGCAATAGTTGCAAAGAGTTGTAAAACCCTTGAATCACAAATTGGTTGACCTCAGCAACGTCATTGGCTATTTGGTGAGATTGTTGGGGAGGCGGTGGTATGGTTAATAGAGCAGAGAGCGATTGTCTGTTGAGAGGAAGAATTGAGAATGTTGGATGTACAAATTGGTAGTATAGCTCCACTAGCTGTGCCTGTTGTGGAATCGAGATTGGATACTGAACATGTGTCAAATTAAGTCCTTGGGAAAATCCTTGGTTGAAGCTCTTCAGAGAGCTGAGTGACATTGCAGGACTAGCAGGTCCTTGAAGATTTGCAGAGTTTGACCTGCGACGGTCTCTTGAATCAATTGAGCTTCTATGAGAACGGGCAGATAGGTCATCGTCCGAATCTGATATTACAGAGGAATCGTAACTCATTCTAGGTGGAAAATGGAAGTTACCATTGGTGTTTGAAGCGATGGAAAACCTTGCATCAGATATCGAAGACGAAATTGAATCCATTGAACCCCTTCTCTCTAAGGATCCCTGATAAGGCACCTTGAGAAATAATCCTGGTGGTGCTGCCGATTCGCCCTTGTTCAAAAGAACTGTTCCACCCGGGGAACTTGGTTGAGAAGGATAACACACCGATTGGGGCGATGGTTGATGTTGCTGTTGTTGTTGTTGTTGTTGTTGTTGTTGCTGTTGTTGCTGTTGTTGCTGTTGTTGTTGTTGTTGTTGTTGTTGTTGTTGTTGTTGTTGTTGTTGCTGTTGTTGCTGCTGTTGTTGCTTTTGTCCAGAAGCAGGATTGGTGCCTCTCATGGGCATGTTCCCTGTAAGAGAAACTAAAGGCGGTAGCATGATAGACTGATGATTTGGTGGTGGTTGATGACTGCTAATACTCGATGATCTTGAAACATCAGTCATAGTTTCAGTCATACTGTCAGATCTCACAAATCCCTTAGTGGGCCCTCTTTTCAAAGGCACCCTTTCAAACGAGCAGCTATCCTTGTTCTTCAAGCAATTGGTACACGGCTTGATTACGCTATTAGAAGTGCTACTAAATGACGCATCGCACCGTACCTTCTTTCTCCGGCACTATTTAAATGCTTGTTAGTACAGGGCCATCAAAGAGCAATTGCGGAAAACAAATAACAAAACACTCACTTCATCACACGCTCTTGAAACTTTAGATCGCTTGTTCTGATGCTTCTTTGGCTGTTCTGCCGTGTGTATTCTCTTAGGCTCTTCACTGGCAGTGGAATACCCTCGTAGCGAATCCATTGAGTTCGTTCTCGGAACGGAAGGGCTCGACTCTGTAGGCTTCAAACTGGAAGAGGGTCCATTCACCGGTTCTCGTGCTTCCACAGTCTTTGCATTCGAGCTCTGTGCCGGTTGTGTTTGTTGTTGCTGTTCTTGAGCTTGCGAGTGCTGGGCGGCAGCACCAGCACCAGCACCAGCACCATCCTGTGATTTCTCTGAGGATACATCTTGTAGCATATGGGCTATTGACGACATATTCGAAGGCTTCAGATACAACTTTTGGCGGTAGATCAATTTGCCGCTGTGGTATTTATCTAGAGCTGTTTTTTATCGAATTTTTTTTATTACGTCTTTCTGTGTGCTTTTTGTGGTTTGTTTTTCCCCTTCTTTCTTTTTTTTGTGCTGGTTGATATTGTTGATGTTGTCGTTGTTCTCCGTTGAATGTGAATTTCCCCATACAATTTTTCCACGTTTACTGCAAAAACAACGCTTTTGTAATTAGTCCTGTCCCACCTCCACCGCTTTGAAAAAAAAAGGCAAAAGCCCCTGAAAAATGGATTTTTCCGGGTCTTTTCAACGCTGCCGAGAATTTCACCCGACTTGTTACCCCGGCCTTTACGTTCAATGGTTTGAGAACGCGGTGAATTGGAAGTTCATGTGGAGAAGAAAACAACGTGTATTACGTCAGTAGTGCGGAGGGGGGGGGGGTTCGAAATACGTTAGTAGAGGAGTTTCTCCGCGTGTTCAAAATGAAGTGAATGGAGGTTTTACTGTTTACAAACTAAACAATCTCTACTTGGATCATGTATTGGTTGTGCCCTCAGTTTGATACCTAGGAGAAAAGTCCTCACTGGGATTAGGTACATCGTTACCTTGAATCGCATCCTGGTATGATGGAACATTCGATATATCGCTATACTCAGAGACGTCTGCAGCTGCACCGGTGTACTGTGCCATGAGCATCATTGAAATGCTTGAAGGGTTGATGAGATTGGAGGTCGCGCCATCTGCAATGGAAAGCATCGGGACCGGTGTCGTCACTCCAGAACTCACCGGAGTTGGGGAGCTCAGACCCCCATCGTTGAAAATCATTTGGTCATAAACATGTTCTTCATAATTTGGCGGCGTGTCGTAGCTGTTTGAGCTTGCTTGTTGTTGATTGTTGTAGCCAACGCTGCTGTGATTAGTCATTTGACAGTTGAAGAGCCTGTCCTCTTCCTTTCTGAAATGAAGCTTCCCCTGCTTATCAAGCATTATCGTACGTCCAGACACTTCCACCACAGGCGAAATGAAAAGAGATATTGGGATGTTCGTTCTCAACTCACTCGTCGTGCCGCTGTCATTGATCAAAATAATCTGCAATTTCAACTTGTGCCTAACCTTGATCATATCGCCTTTCAAATCACAATCCTGAGTGACTTTCTTCAAGTTTGAAGGAATCTTTATCGATGAGTCTATGGATAAAGTATCCTCCAATACCTTCCCTTCCATACTTGTCATGGTAGAATCGAAAATGATCTGCTCATCGTCATAGATATCACCCGTTACTCCTTTAAACGCATAGTACTGCACCATCTGTGCCCTTATCGGCCCCAACTTGAGGCCCTTGCACAATGGCACCAGTAGAATCTTTATAGGAGTCGATCCACCAATGGGCACAGCCCTCGAAGGGATGCTTACCTCATATTGGACTTTGTCTGGCCAACTTTTACCGATGGAAATGGTCTCGGAGATGGAGAAATTGTCACTTGAAAGCGTTCGAAGTATTCGGAAGTACTGGTACTTCATAACTGGTGATTTAAACCCACCTCTATCCATTGTTGCTTCAAACTTGTACAGGATTGACCCGGCCAAAAGTCCTTCAACAGTTTCAGGAACATCACCGGGGAGTATACACTTGAACGGCAGCTCGTAGTTACCTTCTGGAAGTACAAATGTCGTACCTGTAGGAACAACCATGTCTTCAAAGGGCGTGCTGGCGAACTTTTGAGGTTCCATATGCATTGAAAGTGGCGTGTTTGACCTTATCAGCCTTCTTGTTGCCAAGGTCGGTGTACTTGTGCCACTAGTTGAACCTTCTAGGGGACCAATGGTGCCATTGGCGTTTAACAACAAATTCTCCCACATCACTTCGAACACGGTCGACTCCTCCTTCACAGGATTGGAGAGTGTTGTATTGTCTTGTGATAACACCTCAAGAAAGTCCAGTTTGTAGCGCCCAACTAGCCGTAGTCCAATCTTTTTAAACGCCATCTCCTCTGATAGTGAAAAGACGAGATCACCCGTGAGCATAATAGAAGGTGAATCATACTGAGAGCCCCTCACAATAATAAGGTTCTTATACGTGGACTTGACTCTAACGTCAAAGTACTTTACAGAAGATGACGATGAAGATGTCCTCCCCAGTCCGAACATTCAGCTTGCAACAAAACTCCACACTAAACTGTTGTTCTCTCTCTCGAGAAAATAGGTGTTTGGGATTTCGGATTATTTATTCCCCAGTCTAGAACTTTTTTTTTGTCCACATTGGACTTTACACGACAAGCCTAAAAAAACACTTGAAAGAAAAACAAAACAAAACACAAAAGCAATGCTTGATCTTCCGTTCAATTAAACCTTACAAAAGAGCAAACAAATTTCGTCATGTTTGTATATATCATTAAAAGTAGCAGAGTTGTATGTATAAGAGTACTGCTTCTCAATAAATCACGTTCACTAGGTATAAAGGTCATAAAGTTCATAGAGTGAGGTCCTTTCTTTCCCAACCAGTTGGTTTTGCGCTCTTCAGACTATATGCATCAGGTTGTTCATCAACTGGCACTCCTGGCAATTTCATACCGAACGGGTTTCTATCTTTTTTGACATCCAAGTTAGCCAGTGTGTGGTTAACCTCTCTGTGCTTGGCCTCATCAGCTCTCACTCTCAAAATCAAATCCCTGAAAGAGCTGTTCTCGTCCAAATCGGTCCAATATGTCCAGGCAATCTCTGGTAGCTTTGTCTCGTTGAACTTTGGTAAGTTGCCAGCATCTATATCCTTAAGAAGATGTGTATATGTTCTCACAGCTTCCTCCTCAAGGTATCCGACAAATCTGTGGCAGTACTTTGGCTTAAACAGGTAAACCATGAAGAACAAGTTTGCAAAGACACCTTGTCCAACGTAGATAATGGAACGGGTAAACCAAGAAGGATCTCCTAATTTGATAAATGTAAGGAGATGCATTCTCTCGTTGTAAGCCTCATCCAACAAGGTTTCGATCCACGCCTTGTCCCTCTTCAACAATCTCAAGGAGCTCAAATGTCTGAGGAAACCTCCAACCATACCAGGAACACCGGCAATACTCTCAAGGAAAATACATCTGGTCAACCATTTCCCCTCTGTCATCTCATATCTTGTTCCCTTGTACCATTGCAACTCACCGTTAAGTGTTTCTGGTTTCTTGTAACCTGTCACAAGGTCAAAAGAGGCACGACAAAACTTGACAGCGCGGTCAGCAATACTATCACCAATCGTCTGTGGTGGGCGATGGGCAAAGTCAACAGCTTCACAATCACTTTTTTCCATATCCGGATGTGGGAACATTGGATGCGAGATAAACTTGTTGTCTGTTTCTGGTGGGTTAACAATAACCTTGGTGGCTATCGAGAAAGGTGAACGTTTGTCGGCATGAGTAGCAGGTTGCTCAGTTGGGGTATGGATTGTCGATGCATAACAGCGCAAGCTCAAGTAAGCGTTTTTGGTTGCACCTTGTACAACACTTCTATTTCTTAGTGTGGTCAACATGATTGAATGTGTTTCTCTTTTTAGATTGTTAGAGTGTACTGAACGTTTGAACATAGTTAACCATAATGTGCCATGAAGGAAACGTGTGTTTATATATGTTTCAACCTCCCCTATGAATTGATGCTTTCAACGTTTGGCCAAACCCCGCATTATCAACTTTCACAACACATAGCTAGGCCGTCACTTACGGGTAAAGCTTTCTGCTCTGCCTTTCGTGATATGGTTGCTCTCAGGCCATGGACCTCGGAGCAGAAATGAAAGCCGGCATTTGGCTCTCTTTCTTGTTTTTTTTTCCGGTTTTGTGTCAAAAAACACGGCTGCTAAAGCCGCGTCCATCACAGCGTTTCGAGCTTTGGACGATGACAAATACCCGTGTGTTCAATGGATGAACTTGTTTGGTGGAACATTAAACAGGAGTAAAAGGAGAGAAAGTGGATATAAGATCTGTATAACGTGTACTAACATTTAGTCTTGACCTTGAACAGGACTCTTCCTTCATAGAACGGTGTCTACAGTTTGGCAGCTTCGATCTCAAGCTATAGCTTTTTTATTCTAACATCAGCATCGGGGTTCTTCAACAATCCTTCCTAGAATACCACCGGGGCCGTAGCCTATGTAGTATCTATCATTGTTGCATAATTCCACTACGAACTCTAAATGTTGCTCACTTTGCGCTTAGAACTCTGGGACTTCGGAAGCTTAAAGCCTTGCCCAAAGGGGACATGTATTGGTACGCGCCAAAGCCCGTCAAAAACTTTACTTGGATTGTCCCTCCATGTCCACATTGAAGGCCAATTTTCTTTGTTTCTTAATTCCGGGGATATTTGAATGTTAAGGGATTTGGTAATTTACGGAGTCTGAATCGTTTAGCGCAACGCGCCATCGCTTCCCATCATCGTTTGCCGATGGTTTCTTGAAAGCCTAAGTTTCCACGAAGTATATGCTCCTTCGCAGATGGCCAAGCGAAAACACGGAGGGTGGAGGAAAGTTTCCATAACGAACTGTGTATGAAACGACATATTCCACAGGGTTGGGGGTTTTTCTTCTGTTAAGAGCAAAGTGGTAACATGCAAGGTTGTCTTTTCTCCGGCACATGGGGTTAAGCTCTACTCGAGACAGTGGTCTCCATATATTAACAACACTGCTTCTATTTATTCCAACTACAGTTGTCGAGGTTAAACTCCAAAGGATATAGTGATTTGCGTCTGTGTCAATGAGTGGGAATCAACTATGAACTCCATTGATGCTTCTCTATTTGCCGCCAACAGCAAAGTTATAAATTGGTGAAACCACTTGCCACATCACATCATTGGCGTGTCCTCGCTTAATAACCACATGACCATTATAGTTGTGGATTGCCTTAACCCATCGGGTTGCTAAGCTTTCATTCCTACCAAAGTGGTTACAGCAAGACAAGTTCAATGGTTATTCACCTCCATATCCTTCTCACCTCAATAGCCACCTCGCAGGTTATTTGAAATCGTATAAAGCTCAACTTCTCGAATAGTCAAGGGTACCACATAATGGCCGAGCCTACTCACTGAACGACAAATCATGTCCATTGATATACCAGAGTGTAATTATAAACCAGTGATCATCATCGGTGGTGGACCTTGTGGTTTAGCCATCGCTTCACGGTTATGCGAGGCTACCCCAGGTGCAATTTTCAGCAATGGCGAACACTCAAGATTCCATTGGCTTAAGCAAAGAGGTGGTGGTAGTAATGTTACAAAGAGTAAACCTAGAGCCATTGGGTTTGAGGGGAAATTCGACCCAGATGACATTCTGGTGCTGGATAAAACTGGAGATTCCTTCATGTGTCAATGGCACAACCAATTCGATGCAGTTAAGATCCCACATCTTAGATCACCAATGTTTTTCCATCCTGACCCTTTGGATATCGATTCATTGGTTGCATTTGCACATTCACAAGGACGAGAAAAAGAGTTGATGGAAATACATGGAGTTGTAGGGAAAGAGATATCCAAACATCATCAGAAGAAGACCAGGATGAAACGTAAATTGTCCAACTCATTTGCCGGATCTGGTCTTGTAGAGGTTGATAGAAGGGACCGAACAGACTACTACAGACCAGGATCAAAATTATTTGAAGATTTTTGCTCAACTTTGGTTACCAGGTATGGATTGGAAAATGTTGTCCAAAAGGCAACGATAATGAACATCAGGTATACACTTATTAATAAGATCGGAGCCGACAAAGTTGAGTCAAAGATGGGATTTGCAGTTGAAACATCAGAAGGTGAAACTTTTGGTTGTGAGTATTGTATTGGTGCTATTGGTTTGTCCGGTAAGATTAATTATCCTATCAATGGGCTCGGAGACCATTTCCCATACGGATCATGTCACACCACACACCTTTTCCAAAATCAAATCCAGTTACCACCTGAGAAGACAATGGAAAGGATACAGGAAGGTAAGCACACAGAAATGGCAATTGTTGGCGGTGGCTTAACATCAGCTCAGCTCACTGAGCTTGTGCTTTCCAAAGGTGTTGATAAAGTCCATCTCATTATTCGTGGGGAAATAAAGATAAAGCATTTCGATTTCCACCTTGAATGGGTTTCCAAATATCAAAATTATATGAAATCGAGCTTTTGGATGAAAGATTCAGATCTTGAACGGTTTCAAATGATTGAAAGTGCAAGAGAAGGAGGTTCGATGAATCCACAGTATCACAAAATCGTTATGAATCTTGTTAAAAGTGGTCGAGTTGTATTGCATAAGTTCACAGAGATGGTGAGCAACGACTGGGATCAAGGAATGCAAAAGTGGAAATCCATAGTGCTGAAAAGCAAGATTACTGGAGAGCTGAATGAGCTTTGCGATGTTGATTACATTTGTTTCGCAACTGGTACATCCCCTGACATCACCAATCAGCCAATGATGAAGACTTTACTCGACGAATATCCCATTGAAACCATTAATGGAGTACCTTGTCTCACAGATGACCTTCAATGGAACTCTGAAGTACCCTTCTTTATGCTTGGACGGTATGCAATGCTTAGAACTGGCCCATCTTCTGCAAATCTTGACGGTGGTCGTTTAGGTGCGGAGAGGATTGGATGGAAAGTTCAGGATATGGCAAGGAAATCCCAGTTGAAGGAGAAACATAGTAATCCTGAGACTCTGTTAAGATGCACCGGAGGTAGATGTAACTGGTACAGCGTGTTGGGTGAAACGAATGAATTTGATGGTCAGCAAAAGATTCCGGCCAATTGATCATGGGCTCATTTTTCCCTCGACATAGAAACCAGAGTATATATGTCTTCAGAGCAAATTTGATACTGCTTAAAATCTAGATGAGTAAGCCGTAACGCTGTTGAGATATCATATTAATGACAGCTGATTATCAAGGTTTGTCATATCTGATTAGGTACTCAAAGATCCAATGTCTGTCGGTATATGGTTCTGGGTAGCCCCTGAAGTGGAAATGTGTCCCAATATAGTGATGTGCTATGAAAAGGTCGGATATTGGTTAAAAGTCGAATGAGCTGCCACTCTGTTTAGTCTCTAAGCATCATGAAAGAATCTTGGTAACCGTGGAATGTACACTTATTAGGATCCAGCCCTAGTAAGGCTATATGATAGACCAAAGATGATCTATTGTTACACACCATCCATCTCTGGACGTTCATAGACACATGACCCTCCACAACGCATCTTAATTAGTCTTGATACCTTCACCTCTGCAACGATCCACCTTCAGGTAAGTTACGGGGCTCGAGATACTTAAACTTCGACAAATACGTGGTAGCAATCTGTTCAATATAATCCTCGGAAACACCTTGATTTTTCAAACTAGCAACCAACAAACAACTGCCCAATTCTTGGGGCGACAGGTTGTTGAGCACATTAACTTGGAGCTCAAAGAACTGAGACAATAAGTCATCACAAGACTTTGAGGAACCCTTTTGAGTAATCTCGAGGATACGTCTCCAGACCATAGACAAGGACACATAACCAAATTGTTCTTGCAAGAAAATAAACAAATCATGACCGGTGTCCTTGAAGTTATTAGCGCTGTAATGAGATTGCAAGAACAACAACGCATGTCCCTTAACAGAATCAAGCAAAGCAGAGGTGACACATGAGCTCAATAGACTGCGCATTTCATCTTGGTCCACATCAGATATCATCCCAGTTTCACATGGTGGGGTAGTACCGTGAACCATGTATTCATAGAGATGTAAACCTGTGATTCTAAGCTTGAAGGCCAGGGCACCCTGCCACTTGAAAAAATTTTCAGTGCCACTAAGCTTGCTCTCTTCATCGATATTCCAAAGAGATGGTGGTTGGACCATAACCTGCTGCAAACGTAGACGGATAGTATTCCAGTTCATTGGTTTAGCAGACATGGTGTACAATATATTTTTCGTTATTCTTCTAAATACATATAAACTTTATCTAAGAGGCTAACCGCTCTTATTTGTATTTTTCAGAAATACTCCTGAAGATAATGGATCATCAATCTAGTCGCGAACTGATAAGGTCATCGTCCCATACGATCCGCGAGCCTGGCTTTATTAGTAATCCCATGTATTATTAAGCAGTGCCTCACAAAATGATACATTTGTCGTTCCATGTGTTGCTAGCCAAAAACCGGCTCATCAGTTAGTAATCACATTATCAGACAAGTTGATCTGTAGTGCTTCGGTACGGTGAACGCGACTTGGACCTTCGCGATCAACTTGCGCTGCGCGGCCCGTCGGGTATTGACGTTAATGCCTGGTCCTTCCTTGATAGGATGATTTTGAAACTAACGAAATCCACGCTTTAAAGAATTTTCTAAAACTGTAGCGTAAGATTTCGTATATGTAATCGCAAGTGTGTGTATGGTGTGGATATGTTAGAATGATACTAATCTGAGTTCTGTTAGTATGGAAAAGACTTGTCTCGTCCTTTATGTATTAAAAGAGGACATCTCAAAGATCAAAAATAACTCCTGCACAGACCGTTGATAGAAGTAAAGCGACCGGTAGATCTTTCCTTTATGGGCACTGAGATTGTAGTATGTCTTGCTGTTATTACTTCTGCGCACCAAGGGGAACTCTTTAACCTCTGGAAATAAAGAAGTATGATCTTCTGAATTTGTTGGTGCTGTTGGTTCAATATTGGTAAATTCAACAACAATCTCCTCTCTTGTTAATCCCAACTCTATAATTGTCTGTTGAACAATTTCTCAAGCCGGATATAACAGCTGTGCATAAGGATTGTGTTGAGACAGAAACTCACCAATCTTCCTAATGTGGTCGTCAAGTTTATTTTATTCTTCATCGTTTTGAAGAACACCTCTAACCGATTCAATGTGAGGGTTTGTAGCAAAATCTGAATCTAGTGTATAAATTTCTGCAAACTTCTCTTGACCATTTTCTTGAGCTATCATACCATCAACTTGATGTAATAAACGTCCGTTGATGGTCATTGAATAAACTCTACCTCTCGAATCACCAGTACTGATTGTTCGAGAATATTTAGACGTCATTGGATCAGATAAGATATCCTTCATTTACTGTGGAGGTTCTTTGAATATGTCATTGAGTAAAATTTTGTCCGTATCGCAACAAAAAGATGATAATTCAGCATCGATAAGGAGTGCATAGCAACAATCGCAACACTTTTCAAGGGCATCAGGATTATAAACTGAGTTCTGTGGTCTCCGCGGTCTCCGCTGTTGTTGTTGTTCATAAACTGGATCATCATTCTCATTTAAACTGTTGGTGTTATCTTCAATGATGTATTCAAAGTTGGGATCATAATCAAAGGCACCATCAAGTCCGATTTCTTCTAAAGCTCTTTCTGCTATCTGCTTCTTATTCTATCATCCATAGTTCCATTATCAAGTTCAGGTTCAGGACGTCGTTAGAAGGTTCCATGAAGAGTCCTTAGTTTTTTCCTGGGATATCCTTCAAGGTTTCTGCTTTTATTTTTCAATCTTTTGTTTCTGACCATTCTTCTGTTATCTTTCTAACTT